AGTTCTTTTTTGGGGAGGGGTTAGTTCTATTTTTAACTTTATGAGGAAACTCCATATGGTTTTCCTCACTGACTGCACCAGTTTGCATTCCCACTAAACAGTGCAAGGGGGTTCCTTTTTCTCCACATCCTCACTAGTACTTGTTGTTTCTTGTGTTGTTGATTTTAGCCGTTCTGAGGCGATATCTTATTGTTTTGATTTTGTTTCCCTGCTGATAAATGATGACGAGCATTTTTTCATGTATCTGTTGGCGATCTGTATTTATTTTTTGGAGAAATGTCTGTTCATGTCTTCTGTTTATTACCAATTCAGTTTTGTTACAAGTAATCACCTTATTCAGTTTTTCTACTTTTTCTTGACGTACTTTTGGAAGATTATATGTTTCTGTGAATTTATCCATTTCTTCTGCACTAATTTATTGGCATGTAATTTTTCATAGTAATTCTTTCTATTTCTGTGGTGTCAGTGGTTACTTACCCCCTTCATTTCTGATTTTTTTTATTTGGATCCTCTTTTGATGAATCTGACTAAAGGTTTACCAATTTTGTTTTTCTTTTCAAAGATCTGGTTCTTGGTTTCGTTGACGTTTTCTATTTTTTTCTTAGTCTCTATTACATTATTTCTGCTTTGATCTTTATTATTTCCTTTCCTCTACTAGTTTTGGGTCTTTTTCTAGTTCCTTTAGGTGTAAGCTTATATTGTTTGAGATTTTTCTTGTTTCTTGAGGTCACAATACATTTACATCTTAGATCCACTTTTGCCGCATCCCAAAAATTTTAGACCATCTGGTTTCCTTTGTTTCGAGTTGTTTTTTAATTTTCTGTTTGATTTCTTCATTGGCCCATTGGTTGTTTAGTAGCATATTGTTCAGCCTCCACAGGTTTATAGCTTTTCCACTTTTTTTCTTGTAATTAATTGATTTCTAATTTCATTCTGTTGTAGTCAGAAAAGACGCTTGATATGATTTCAGTTTTCTTAAATTTATTGAGACCTGTTTATTGGAATATGTGATCCATCCTGTAGAATGTTCCATGTGCATTATTTATTTATTCATTTTTTTATTTGTTTTTATTCGTGAGAGACACAGAGAGGCAGATCCATTACATGAAATACTATATGTTTCATTTGCTTTTGATTTTTACTAGTGTTTTAAGAAATATTTATTTGTTTGTTTGTTTATTTAAAGTAGGCTCCATGCTGGAGCCTAATGTGGGGTCTGAACTTATGACTCTGATCAAGATCTATTTTAAAGATTTTTTTTTTTAAATTTATTAACTCGTGAGAGACACACACATAGAGAGGCAGACACACAGGCAGAAGGAGAAGCAGGCTCCATGTAGGGAGCCTGATGCGGGACTGGATCCTGGGACTCCAGGATCATGCCCTGGGCCAAAGGCAGGGCACTAAACCACTGAGCCACCCCGGGATCCCCTCCATGTGCATTTTAAAAGAATGTGTATTCTCTTGTTTCTGGCTAGAATGTTCTCTATATATCTCCATATATCTCAAGTCCATCTGGTCTAATGTGTTGTTCACAGACACTGTTTTAGTGATTTTCTGCTGGGTTATCTATGTATCCATTGGTGTTAGGATGTTAAAGTCCTCCACTATTATTGTATTACTGTCTGTTTCTCCCCTTATGTCTGTTAAAATTTGCGTTATACATTCAGGTGCTCCAGTGTTGGGTGCTTAGATACTTACAGTGCTATATATATCCTATTGTTGGATTGATCCCTTTATCATATAGTCTACTTGTCTCAATACAGTCTTGGTTTTGAAGTCTGTTTTGTCTGATATAAGCATTACTATTGTAGAGTTTTTTGTTTTTTTTTTTTTACTTCCATTTGCATGGAATATCTTTTTCCATCTCGTCACTTTCAGTCTGTATGTATCTTTAGATCTGTGGCAAGTCTCTTGTAGGCAGCATATAGATGGGTCTTGGTTTTTTTGTTTTCTGTTTTTTGTTTTTTTTTTTTTTAGAGAGGGAAGGGAGGACTGGAGGGAGAAAGAGAATCTTAAGCAGGCTCCAAGCCCAGCACAGAGCCTGACATGGGGCTCAATTTCACAACCCTGAGCCAAAATCAAGAGTTGGATGCTTAACTGACTGAGCCACCCAGGTGCCGCAGTCACTCTGTCTTTTGATTGAAGCATTTAGTCCATTTACATTTAACATACTTACTAATAGATATGTGCTTCTTGCCATTTTGTTAATTATGTTCTGGATGTTTTTGTAGTTCTTTCCATTCCTTCTCTTGTTCTGTTTCCTTAAGGTTGATTACTTTCTTTAGTGTTAGGCTTGGCTTCCTTCTTCTTTATCTTTTGTGTCTGTATTATAGGTTTTTGGTTTGTGGTTACCATGAGGTTTATCAGTTAATCGTCTGCCTTCAGCTCAGGTCACGATCTCAGGGTGCTGGGATTGAGACCTGTCAGTCTCCCTGCTAAGTAGGGAATTTGTTTCTCCCAATCATCTCTCCTCCCCACCCCACCCCCACTCCTGTGCTCACATGCTTTCTGAACCTGGATGTCTGTTTCCCTCCCTAGGTTAGGAAAGTATTCAGTTATTCTTCAAATAAGTTTTCTGCCCCTTTCTCTTTGTCTTCTACTTCTAGGACCCCTATAATGCAAATGTTTGTTCACTTGATATCGTCCAAGAGATCCCTTAACCTATCCTCTTTTTAAAAAATTCTGTTATCTTCCCATTATTCAGCTTGGGGGCTTTGTTACTCCCTGTCCTCTAGATTGCTAATATGTTTTCATACATTCTCAATCTGTTGATTCCCTCTAGTGTATTTTTTAAAAACTTTTTTTTTAAGATTTTATTTATTTATTCATGATAGACACACAGAGAGAGAGAGAGAGGCAGAGACACAGGCACAGGCACAGGCACAGGCACAGGCAGAGGGAGAAGCAGGCTTCATGCAGAGGCCTGACGTGGCACTTGATCCCGGATCTCCAGGATCAGGCCCTGGACTGAAGGCGGCACTAAACCGCTGAGCCACCAGGGCTGCCCCCTCTAGTGTATTTTTCATTTCAGTTATATTCTTCAACTCTGATTCTTCTTTATATTTTCTATCTCTTTGTTGAAGTTTTCACTGAGTTCCTCCAGTCTTCTCTGCAATCTGGTCAACATCTTCATGATCATTACTTTGAACTCTCTGTAAGGCATAGTGCTTATCTTCATTTCATTTAGTTCATTTTCTGAGGTTTTTTGTAGTTTTTGTTTGGAGGATATTCCTGTCTCATTTTATTTGACTTTCTTTGTTTCTATGAATTAGACAGAATGGCTACTTTTTCTAAACTAGAAGGAATGATCTTATGCATAGTTTTGTCTTTGGAAACTGTGTGCCTGGTGACTTGGCTGCCCAGAGCTGTGGCTCTTGTGGGCTGGAGGTTCTAGGGGACTCTGTGCTGGGACTGTGTTAGTGGGATGCCTGAAGCTGAAATTGGTGTGGGATGGGCAGTCCTAGGGCTCTCAGTGTAGATGGCACATTGGCCAGACAGCTGAAGCTGAAGTGGGCATGGATTGGGGTGTTCCCAGGGCTCTTTATGGAGAGGGCACCCTGGGAGTACAGCTGAAGGTTAAGTGGGTGAGTCCAGGGATCCCCATAGTTCTTTATTCAGGGGGCTCTGGGGACTGGGGCTGAGGTAAGGCATGGGTCAGGAGGTTCTAGGAAGCTGTGTACCAAGGATAGGCTAACATCATCTGGAGCCAGAGTGGTGTGAGCCTGGAGTGTTCCAGGATACTTTGTACCTGTGTCACCTTGACAAGATGACTGGAACTGTAGTGAGTGCTGACCAGAGGTGTGCAGTGTTGGCTGCACTGGGGCCACTTTGATGGGATAGCTAGGGCTGGTGTGTGGGTTAGGGCCTAGGGTTCACGGCAGCAGTAGGCCCACAAGGATACCTGGACCCTTTTCCTGGCTGCAGTATCAAAGTAGAGGAGGAGTATCAATCAACCATGGCGCTCACCAGCCCCTTTGACTCAGAGTTCTAGCAGCTCCCCTGTCAATTGGCAGGGTTCTAGGGCTAGTTCCTTTATATTCTAGTTGTCATTTTAACCCATAGCTTTTTTTTTCTGTGCCCTAGGGCAGACAAAACTGCTCACCAGTCCCTCCCCACTGCAGTTCAAAGCATCAGAGGAGGTGGTGGTTCCCTTTGTTACTGTGTCTCTCTCTGCTCTTTTTTTGTGCAAAAGCTATTCAGTCAGCCCTCAGTTCTTCAGGAAGCATTGCTTTATAAATAGGTAGATATAGTGTGTCCATGGAGGAGGTGAGTTCAGGGTCTTCATACATTGCCATCTTGGATGAGAAAAATCTATGGTTGCATGTCTTCTGCTTAGCAATATTATGAAAGACAGATGGCCCGTATCCATCTCCCCAATTTGTTTTCATGTCATTGGAAGGAAAGAGAATTTAAGATGCCTGCCAAACTACCTATGCCCTTTCAAGTGTGACACACATAAATTTATTTATTGTAGTAGAGAGGACCTAGGAGAATTTTTACAAACTAGCTTCTGCTGAATAGGAAATGAAAGGAATTCATTTTAAAAAATTAAAATTCATACATTTAAGTATTTGTTTCATGAGCAAATAGAGGTATAGGGCACTTTATAAAAATTTTTGGTAGTTTTTGTCTTGTTTTTTTTTTTTTATTTTTATTTATTTATGATAGTCACACAGAGAGAGAGGGAGAGGCAGAGACACAGGCGGAGGGAGAAGCAGGCTCCATGCACCGGGAGCCCGATGTGGGATTCGATCCCGGGTCTCCAGGATCGTGCCCCGGGCCAAAGGCAGGCGATAAACCGCTGCGCCACCCAGGGATCCCCTAGTTTTTGTCTTGTAAAGAGACCTATGCTGTTAGGGAAGAAGTCCAACTGTCCATGAGCTAAGTGACTCTTAAATACAGTTGCATCCTTTACTATATCATTTATGCTTTTATCAAGGCTCTCTTAAGTTGGTGCTTTTTTATTCTAACTTCTCCATCTATTGCTTTCCCTTTAGAACAAAATGTGCATGTCTTCAATTGACAGCAAGGAATGCCAAGACTTGCCCCTTGTCAAGTAATAAAATAACCACTGGATATAAATATAAAAGACTACAGAGACAAATACCTTCTGGGTAAGATACCTTGAGTATTTGTTACAGGGTATTTGTATTTTTGAAGGTGGGTACTTTGTTGTGGTCTGTAGACTTAATATCTCATTAAATATTAATTTTATATACCAGAAATCTATATTAAGGAATAAAAAACCCCCAAACTTATATATTGTTCTTGGAAATGGAAGTCAGAAAGAAAAAAAATAGAAATGGAAGTCAGAGAGCACACACATAGCATGCAGAGTGTATACTGAAACACCTATCTGCTTTGAGTCTCTTACCCTCTAGAGTTGGACTGTTTGGGGTAGCTCTTTCCCCATTAGGAAATGGAACTAGCAAAGCTCATCTAAGAATTGGGATTTTCCAAACTTTCAAAATTGTTGTTATTAAAAAAGAAATGGAGACAGAAAAGCTTTCTTCCTAGACATTCCTAGACATCTTTTAAAAGCTAACATTTGCAATGTGCCAGGCATTGCTTTAAACACCTTATAAATACTGACTCATTTAATCATGAAACAACTCTTTAAGACAGGTACTATCATATATCCCCATTTTAAAAAATGGAAAACTTAAACCCAGAGAGGTTAAATAACTCATCCAGCATCATACAGTTAGTAAATGGCTGGAGCTGTGATGAGAATCCAGGCAGTCTAGCTTTAGGAGCCTTCACACTTAGTCTGCCTCCCATGGTAATTATTAGTGAGGTAGCAGAATAAGATGCTTTTGCTTTTAGCTTAGGCTATCTAATTGATTTTTTTTTCTTGCCTATTTTATCAACAGCATTTATGAATGCAGCCTGTTGTGCAAGTGTAATAGACAGATATGTCAAAATCGAGTTGTCCAGCATGGACCTCAAGTGAGGCTACAGGTGTTCAAAACTGAGAAAAAGGGATGGGGAGTACGCTGCCTAGATGACATTGACAGAGGGACATTTGTTTGCATTTATTCAGGTAAAGCAATGGTTAATTATTCAAATTATCGTATAGTAAGGTCTGCATTTCTGAATCTCCATTTTACTAGATCTTATAGCAAGGACAGGAGCAACAATATATAGGAGGAGCATCAGAGTGAGGCAAGTGACTGGGAAATTGAGCGCTGAAAGGATGAGGAAACACCAGATATTTCAGAAAAGAAAGGCTCAGAGATAAAATTATGCGAGGCATATTTTTTTTTGTCTCCATGGCTATATACGCTTTAGGGTAAGCTAAGAAGACTTTTTGAATAAGAAAACTAAATGACTGACTTGCTAAGGTAAAGATTATCTATCAAAGACTCTTGTTCAGTGATTTGAACTGTTAGAATTTAACAAGTTAAGGTAATAAATACCTGCATAGGATGATTCAGGCAGTGACTTTAAGCAGCTCACTCCATCTCAGGAACTCCAGAGAGTTGCCCTCACTCTGAGCAAAACTTCCCAACCGGTGTTTTATAGTTGTGCATTCCCGATTTTTTTTTTTTTTTTTTTGGTCACAGCCTCCAGGCCAGACACATCAGTCTCCCACAGTCTCAGACATTTACCCCAGAGTATCAGACCAAAATCCTTATTTTCTGTGTGTACCATGAAATGAGAAAGGTTGAGGAAACATGGCTCTGGAGCCAGTCTAAAGGAAATGTGCTGGACCAAGTCTTGGCAGCAGTGCAGCAGAGACCAGAGTAACCATCCTCATCAGAAATTCCACGGTCACTTCAGTGAGGGCAAAAATTAGTATAATTCATAACAGCCACATTTGATTCCTTGTCACATACTACACAATTTGCCTACACATTCATCTCTCATATTTCTCAAGATCACTGTTTGATGAAAGTCAGCTGCTTTACAATGTGCCACATGATGTCCAGAACATATCGTTGGCTTTATCTGCATTACTAGAAAATGTATCTAAGGTATCTCTCTGATTCAGCTGCTAATTTTGACTCGGTAACTATAGTTTCGAGTCTCTTAAAAGAAAATGCATGAACTTTAAGATTTCAGTATTACACTAGAACTTAATATGAGAACAGGCACATATTAACTCAGATTTAAATAGATTACTTTTATAAGTTTTAACTGATAAAGCATTTTATCAGTTCACCTAATTTTCTAGAATGCTTTCAGATTTATATTTTTGTTTTTTATTATTGTAGCTAAATCTGTTCTCTTTCATGTTATACCAGAACAGACACATGCTTTTTCACATACTGGAAGATATGAAATCTCTTATTGGTGTTTTGTTTATTGTTTCTTACGAGAGTTTTCTAGGATGAGTTAATGTGTTTATTTTTATTCTAGAAATGTGGCACATTTCAGAGTTCTTTAATAATGGAGCAAAATAGAGGTGTTCTTTTATTGCTTAGCAATTATATTTTGTCTTACTAAAGTCTTATTTTTTTCTTTTAGGAAGATTATTAAGCAGATCTAATGTGGAGAAACCTGGTGCTGCTACTGATGAAAATGGAAAAGATTATATTATGAAAAATATGTTTTCAAAAAAGAGGAAAATAGAAGTTGCAGATTGTGAGGTTGAAGTTATACCATTAGACCTGGAAACACATAATAGAAGTGCTGAGACTGAGGAGTGTCCACCTGTATTCAATAATAATATAAAAGAGCCTGTTACGTAAGTAAGATCATAGGAACCCAGTCAAGATGGACCTGTATTATTGATCAAGAATGGTTGGTTCTCTTTGTTTCTGACTTTCCCATCTACTCCTGTGTAACTCCTATGTATCAGTGTGCTTCGTGGCTATAAATTTAACACTGAGAAATCTAGAACGCTTATATTTTAAAATCTAGCCAACATACTTTATTTCCTTTTCTGGAGTTTTACCCTTAAAGACATATGACTTTAATCAGAGTCTTTATGGATGTCATAACTTTTGCTGTCTTTTTTATTTTTCATCCTTTTTTTGACAGTGCTTTTCACAGAGTATCTTTTAAACATATTAGAAAATGATTGACTTTAAAATATATTTCCTTTAAAATCTAGCCAACATACTTTATTTCCATTTCTGGAGTTTTACCCTTAAAGACATATGACTTTAATCAGAGTCTTTATGGATGTCATAACTTTTGCTGTCTTTTTTATTTTTCATCCTTTTTTTGACAGTGCTTTTCACAGAGTATCTTTTAAACATATTAGAAAATGATTGACTTTAAAATATATTTCCTTCTTTAGTGGGAGATATAGATGTTATTAGATTAATTTCTAATGGATACTTTGTAACACTGATATCTATATTTTAGGGTCCAATAAAGAGGATTTTTAGTGATACATAGAATATTTTTTTTTTCCTTTTCAGAGATGTGAAATGTAACAGTATTTCAAGAATTCAGTATCATTCAGTCATTAGAAGTCCTAAAGTGAAGACAGTCATTATTCAGCGCAATGGGAAAAGGATGGTAAAAAACGCAAAATGTAGATGGGGCCCTTCTGAGAACATTAGCTGTGATCTCATCTTTCTTTTACTTCTATCTTTTAGTTCTAATTGTTTGTGTAACTTAATGTGTAGGATTTCTTTTATTATTTGGAATTGGTGTACTCTTTAAGTGTCAGGACCATGTTTTAGTTACTTAGTGTCCTCTATGGTCATTGGCATATTCCCAGCTTTGATACTAAAGAGAGTGTTGGTCCTGATCTGACAATGTGTTCCACTGAGACTGAGAGCTGTCCAGTTCTGCGAATTTATAGAAAAGCTAAAGTATTCCAGAGTTGATGGTGATACACAGTAAGAAAAAAGATGGAGTAATTTAGGTTGAGGAGATAAGGTTGTGAGATGTAAGAAAGAGAAGACATTAAAAAAATAAAAAAATAAAAAATAAATAAAAAAAGAAGAAAGAGAAGACATCCCAATGAAAGAATCATTCAGGGATCCCTGGGTGGCGCAGTGGTTTGGCGCCTGCCTCTGGCCCAGGGCGCGATCCTGGAGACCCGGGATCGAATCCCGCATCGGGCTTCCGGTGCATGGAGCCTGCTTCTCCCTCTGCCTATGTCTCTGCCTCTCTCTCTCTCTCTCTCTGTGTGTGACTATCATAAATAAATAAACATTTAAAAAAAAAAAAAAAAGAAAGAATCATTCAGAAAACACCATTTTACATGATAGCTTTTGAAGGTACACTTTTCAGTCTTTACTAAGAATAACTAGGCAGAGACTGTAACTTAGAAGAAAAGAAAGATACAGGAAAAAGAACAGAGGAGGACATAAAGGTAGTTCACAGTAGGGCTTGTTGATGAGAAATAAAAACTCTGCCCTAGGTGATGTGCAAATAGTTGCCGTCTGTGTAGTAATGTACATATAGTAAGTACCTCCTCAGGATCACATAGTGATGAAGAGGTTAGGCCATCAGACCACACAGACCTGGGTTTGACCTTTGGCTCTGCTGCTTAGACCTGGGTGACATCTCCACGTCTGCATTCCTCTATCTGTAAAATGAGGATAATGGTACCTGTCTGAGTTAAGAGGATTAAATGAAATAAGCCTCAGAAACTTTGTGTAGCACAATGCTGGACACTCAAGTGCTCAAAAAATGTTGACCATTTAAGTAACCTGAATAATAATAATGTCAACGCTTATTCAGCAGTTAGTTGAGTGCCAGGTGTGGTGTTAAGCTTATAACCTTTTCAAAAGTTATCATTACCATATAAAGTGATTGCAGTGTCCACAGTTCGTAAAGATAGACAACTCCTTTAACCTCTTTGAAGTAAAAACTAAAGTTTTTTTTTTTTGTATTTGCACATATTTTAGTTGAAGCCAAATTTGTTTTTTTTTTTTTTTTAATTTTTATTTATTTATGATAGTCACACAGAGAGCTAGAGAGAGAGGCAGAGACATAGGCAGAGGGAGAAGCAGGCTCCATGCACCGGGAGCCCGACGTGGGATTCAATCCCGGGTCTCCAGGATTGCGCCCTGAGCCAAAGGCAGGCGCTAAACCACTGCGCCACCCAGGGATCCCCTGAAGCCAAATTTGTAATCTGGTATCAGAATAGAGAGATACAGACAGATGTCTTTGAATTTTATTTTAAATTTTAATGCCTAAAGAATGTCTTGACGGTCTTGATAAATAAAGTCTTTATAGCTGTGGCTTACTAAAGAACCTAGAAGTAGAACACAGCAAAAAGGTCTCCATCACTCCAGAGACTCCTTATGATACCAGCTTTGAGGCTTCCAAAACTAAGCTACAGCCTATGAAGATTGACACTTGACCAAAGACTGCTACATTAAATAACTGCTACATTAAATTCTTTTTCCTGACCTAGAAAGTAAAGACATCTTACCTGTTCTCTTTTAAGGGATTTGCTTCCTCAGAGTCTGTCACCTCAGAAGATAATGATGGATTTAAACCAACTCAAGTACATCTGAACTCCAATACCAAGGAAATGAAAAGTAGGCTTTGTTTCACTCTGTGATAGCCTGCCTCTTCTGCCTTTATGTCTGTCTTGCTCACTATCTATGGTTTATTTTGTCAGATTTAGAACAAACAAGCTGCATTCATTATAAAAGTTACTACTTGTCTAGATTAGACGTTGGCAAACTAGGTTGTGAACCAAATCTGGCCCACCATCTATTTATGTATGGCCCATGAGCTAAGGTAACTTTTACATTTTTAAGTACCTAAAAAAAAGAAGATGAGTAAATTTTGTGACACTTAAAAATTATATAAAATTATATTTTGGTGTCAGTAAACAAAGTTTTATTAGAGCATAGCCACAGTCATTAAGTTACATATTCTCTCCGATGGCTTTCAGACCCTGTCAGGAGAGCTGAATAGTCACCACAGAGATCAAACGGCCCGGAAAGCCTAAAATACTTCTTACTTGGCCCCTTGCAGAAGAAGTTTGCCAACCCTTGATCCATATGCCAGCAGTCACCTGAGGTGTGGCAGGAAGAAGTGGGGTAGACAACTCTGAGTCTGAACAGTCCAGTGTTATCTGTGGCTTTGGAAGCATTGTCCAAAGCAGCCATTTTCTCACTCTTTGTTAGGGGCTCCTTTAAAAGTACAGATACATCATTCTGCAGTACTCCAGCCAACAGTGTTTGCAGGGATGCTCAGCAAAAAAGATTGCTATTGTGAGTGCTTGTCTTTACTGTTACCAATCTTGCAGTAGTTCCTGTTACAACTTAACAAACCTGAATTTTGATACTTTTGCATTTCACATATCCCTCACTGGTGAGACACTGCTAAGAAATGACCTTTTTAAATAACTGAGCCATTGCTTCTTCTTTAGAGTTTCTTTACATCTGTATCCCCAACTCCTCACTCGGTCTTAAAGGATTGGAGATTGGGGCTGGGGAGCAAGGCAGCTGTTTGACAGAAGTCTATCAGACAGGGCATTTATGTATTACAATTATTTCATCATTGTAGGGGAGGGAACTCTTCTTCAGCCCATCTTAGGCTATTCAGCTGGGGCCTTGTAAATTAGATTGACAGATTGAAGAGAGAAAAACAAACACATTATTACCATGTATCACCATTACCAAGTGTATCACACCTGTAACACATGGGAGTACTCCGAGAAGAGTAACATGAAGAAGTAGCTTAGAGGGGTACCTTGCTGGTTTAGTCACTGGAACATGTGACTCTTGATCCTCGGGGTTTTGAGTTCAAGCCCCACACTGGGTGTAGAGATTACTCAAAAGTAAAATTTTAAACAAAACAAAAAAGTAGTAGTAGTAATCAAAAAGAAGTAGTAGTAGCAGCAGCAGCAGCAGCTTAGAACTCTGGCTTATCTAGCATCTTTGCCAAAGAGCAATAAATTTTTAGAGGAGCGACAAGATAAAGGAAAAGGACATTGAGTCTAGGGGCTCAGCATTATGTGGGAATATAAAATATGAGAAACCAATAGTGGATAAAAGCTAGTTAAGTTTGTTATGTAGATTCTTCTGGTTTGATTTCCAGGCTGATAAAGGACTAAAGCTGTCTCTAGTTGACTAACTTTTGTCCTTCCTGGTGGGAGGAAGGAAGGACACCTTTGAAAATTTATGTACTGCTTTAAACAGATAGGGGGAAGGCAAACAGCTTTTTTGCATATGCAACTTAGTCACTTTTAGCTTAAAACAATTCTTATGTCAAGGAAGCATATTTTGGCATGACATATTCTGATTTCCATGACCATTTAATGTATGTGAGCTATAATTAGTACTCTTGCTTTTGGTTCTTTTGTTATTTTTGTTAATTGCTACTATATATATATATCTATATATCTATATATATATATATATATATATATATATACCAGTTATATATTATTATCCTTTACAAGTAACCCATAATTAAAATGTGAGAACATGTAGGAACAGCAGCCAGTAACAATAATGATTAAATCAAGAACATTAGAGAAATACACCACTCAGCTAGGTGGCACAAATGACTTTTTAAAAATAAACGATTTTACCTATTCCATTTGACAAGCATTCATACTTTTGGATATTCTAAAAAAAATTATTTCCATTACTGGATAAGAAAAATGATTAAGGCAGTTCATCTTATTCTAAAGTATTACTGTTTGTAAAAGTGTAAATATTGAGTGGTCTTCTAGCAAATCCACCAAACACTAATGTGTGCAAAACCCATACCAGTACAGTTGTTATCTTGTCACTTGTGGTGGGTGATGCCAAACAGGGTCTTCCCAGACCTTTCATTGATATCCTAAAGGCCTCGAGTACTCCCTAATCACCCACTCTGTTACCGGTATTCAGAATATACTTAAATGCAGATTCCAGGGTTGAAGAGAGGGAAGTCAGCTTATGAAGAGAGATTAAATATAGTCGTAACAGGAGGCAACAGAACATTAGTAAAAAGATGGTAGAAAGAAGGCAGCCCTGGAGCCAGACATTTCTCAAACATTTGAGACACTTCTGGGTTTCTTACCCCACTTCTCATTATATTGCAGGTCAGGTGAATCTCTTACCCTCTCAGAGGCTCAAAGTTTTCATTTGTAAAATCGGAGTACTGTCTACCTTCGTACATTGTAAGGATTAGCAATAATTAAAGCAACTAGTATTTAATTAGTATGTTAATCTCAGGACTGTTGATCAGCCAAGTATATTTGCTGACACTTCCTTCCAAAATGTTTATTAGAGGATTCAAGCTCCTACCAAGTTAAAGACTCTGAAGACAATCTGCTGATTGAATCAGATGTGATAGATATAACTAAATGTAGAGAAGAATCTCCATCAGGGGGCAGATGTAACCAAGCAACCACATTGGATAAACAAGATATTATAAAGGAGTTCAAGGCTCAAGTGCAAAAGCCCCAAGAGGAAAGATCTCCAGCGTATCGAAATCATCAGGTCTTTTGTGATAAAGAGTTCCCAAGTGAAGCCAAGAATATTTCACCTAATTCCCTAAAGAAGTTCAGTAAAGGGAATGTGTTTTTATTGGATGCCACAAAAGAAGGGAATGTGGGCCGCTTCCTTAATGTGAGTATATGGGCTAAAATTCACATTTCTAAACAACTATTTTTCTGTGCTGCTTTGAATGGTTTGAAATTTTTGTGCAGTCATATGTAATTCACCAACCATCAAAAGAGAAAAAGATTCTGAAGTCACAAAGTCTTGTTTTCTTTTTCAAGTTTTTATTTAAATTCCCAGTTAACATACAGTGCAATATTAGTCTCAGGTATAGAATTTAGTGTTTCATCACTTATATACAACACCCAATGCCCTCAATATTCATCCACCTCCCTACCTGAAGTCAGAAAAGCTTTAAAAACAAAGAGCTTTTTCCTTGCTAGATGATCTATTTGGTTTGTTTCCTTTTCCCCTAGTTAGGCGGATTCGTGGTTAACAAGAAATAGAATCCTTTCCTCTCTTCCTCTGTCCCCCAACTGCTCTTCTTTATTCCACTTTGACTACTTCTATACTAATACCAAACATGTCTGGAGAGCCATTAAAGAAAGATCCGCAGCAAAGAACTGTCATGGCTTTATTTCCCATCAGTTACGTTGAAAGTGGGTATACCAGAACAGTATGGTTGGTTTTACTCTCCCAACCAGCACACCACCTGGGCTCCTGTCTTATTTGGAGGAGGAAAAAAACCGAACTTCCCTTCCCTCCCTCCTTCCTTTTTTCTTCCTTCCTTCCTTCCTTCCTTCCTTCCTTCCTTCCTTCCTTCCTTCCTTCCTTCCTTTCTTTTCTTTCTTTCTTTCTTTCTTTCTTTCTTTCTTTCTTTCTTTCTTTCTTTCTTTCTTTCTTTCTTTCTTTCTTTCTTTTTTCTTTCTTTTCTTTCTTTCTTTCTTTCTTTCTTTCTTTCTTTCTTTCTTTCTTTCTTTCTTTCTTCTTTCTTCCTTTCTTCCTTTCTTTCCTTTCTCCTTTCCTTCCTTTCTTCTTTAATTTTTTTTACATAGAAAATACATTCATGATTCAAAAATGGAAATAAAATGAATAAATGCAATAAAATTCTATAAATAAATAAAGCAATAAAGAGCCATACAGAATACATACATCAGCCAAACAAAATTCTATTTCAAGGTAGGTCCAAGCCTGCCACATAGGCACCATGAGTAAAAGGTTACCAGCCCAATTGAAAAAAAAAAGTATAGACAGAGAGTTATCACTGAAATTGAATAGTGGCAAACATGGCTAAGCAGTATTGCAGGGATTTGGTTCCTTTATGAATCTGGCAATAGATGAATGTGTGGAGATGGGAGCTAGTGGGCAATACAACAGTATTGGAATGGTGGTAATTGGATAAGATCGTATCATGTTAGAAGCCTTGAACAAGGATCACTGATAGTAGTGTTCAGCAGACATCAGTTGCTTACGTATGTCCCCTTTCCAGAGGGTCTGTTTGACAATGATGTAAAACCAGTCACATACATTTTTCCTATTAACCGTTTTTCTTCTGTAAAAAAAAAAATCCTAAAAAGTAACTATGCTTTTATTGACCTTGTACTTTATATAGTAAAATCATTTTTACTAGTTTTTGTTTGTTCTTATATTGTTTCCCCCTTTTTTACATAAAAGCATATTATATTCACTGTTATATGCCTTGTTTTTTAAATTAACAATATACTCTGGAAATCTTTCCATATCAGTACGCAGAGAAAACTCCTCATTTTGTTTGCTTTTGTTTATGGCTACATAGAATTCCATTGTATGGATATACCAAAGTTTATTTAACTGGTCTTCTTTAAACATTTGGGTTGTTCTTAAACCATGTTTAGAATAGTAATGTTTTACTATTAAAAACAGTACTTAATAATCATACACATAGATACATGTACAGATGCATCTGTGGAATACATTCCCAGCTATGGGATTGCTGAATCAAAGGATAAATGCACTTATAATAATATAAAATTGACAAATTATCTTCTATAGAAGCTTATACTATTTTGCATTTCTACCAGTAAGATAAGAATGTCAGAACAGGGCTTTTCTGATTGGTTTCCTACTATTAAAATATTACAATCTATGATATTTTACATATAGGTCAGCAAGAAAGGGAAAGAAACGAAAATAAATGAGATTTGTTAGAAACAATAGTATTCTAATGCTTCAAAAACAAGGTATCAAACTCTTTATCTAACCTCTGTGTTTGTTTATGTATTTATTTTAACAGCATAGTTGTTGCCCAAATCTTTTGGTACAGAATGTTTTTGTAGAAACACGTGACAGAAATTTTCCATTGGTGGCGTTCTTCACCAACAGGTTTGAAATTTCTTTTATGTGATTTAATTTTGAAATTGTGCAAAATAACAATATAAAAATACGTGCGATAGCCCCTAATATCTGCTACCCTAGAATATTCATTTATCCCAAACTGTTCCTAGTCAATAAAATTTTAAACAGTTAAATTTTCAATCCTTACTTCCTGTGACAATTAATGCCTGAAGGGCTAAAGATGGTAGTTCTGACCAGTTTAGGGAATAAATAATGTAGAATGCTACATCTCCTGTGAGTCAGAATTGCCTCCAGCTATCACACTACAGACCTCATCACGTCACTGGGTTCCACATGTTTGCAAAACACTTCCTTTCTCGTGGGTATTGACAAGTTTCTTCTTACTTAGGATTTTGGTAGATTTAAAATAAAACTCAAATGATTATTCTTAATAAAAGCATTCCTAAATGGGTGTTGGAGAGACAGAATAGACCAGATTTTTGAAGATTTTTAATGATGTTAATAAGAAATTGATTATAATTTATGTTTACTTTTTAATTTCTACTTTCTAGGCATGTGAAAGCAAGAACAGAACTAACATGGGATTATGGGTATGAAGCTGGGACTATGCCTGAAAAAGAAATCCTCTGCCAATGTGGGGTTAACAAGTGTAGAAAGAAAATATTATAAATCTGTAGCTAATGCTTATTGATGAGATTAGCTTATCATGTTGCAGTGAGAGGCATGCAAGAGAACCTTCAGTCATCAGTGGAATTAACTTAGGTTATGGTCCATCAAAAGAATGCAGTTTACCCTTGTCAGGGGAATCATTTGTATGACCTAGAAATGCTTGGAACAAAATAAGGACATTTTCATATGCACAGGCTCTTTATTCTCTGCTGTTCAACTTGACGAGTGGGATGGAAGTGTATATTTTATATGAAATACCATTATACAGTTTGTAACTTATTTGTAAATTATATATTAAGAGAAACAAATGTCAGTAGAATTCACTTATTCTTATTTACTTTTGTGATTATTATCTTTGAGTTCATGCCCTAAAGGGCCAAATTTCACATCTTTACCTACAAAATTTATGTTTAATTCTTGGCAAATAATTTACCAGTATGAGCTATAAGGTGGGCAACACAGCCTGAGGAAGATGTAAGAACTTTACACATATTACTTCCAAGTATTTTAAGACTAGTTGGAGAAGCTCTGGCTGCATGTACTTCTGACTCATCAAACCATTTGAATGCTAAGGGGAAAGCTCCTTGGAGCAAACTTGAGATGGAACTTTTTTTTCCATAGATTCTCTTTACTACTCAGTACAGAGATAAAAAAAGGGAATAAAAACCTGGAGGAATTGGTATATTTTTTGTTCTAGGTAGAGGAGAGCCATAAGAAAAGAAAACTTAGAAACTAGTCAGATTTGGCTTATTTAGGCCAAACGGGATTGTGCTGGGCAAGAATTTCACTTAACAAAGCAAAACAAATCAATTCTACTGAGTTGTAATGTCTGGAACAGCTTCTTGGATTCTCCTGGCTGTGACGTGCAAATTGCTTTTGTAGAGAAAAAGGGGTTATATTCTGCTATACTTCAGGTTGGTTACCCAGCCCTGATTGCAGAGTGGAAAGGGACTGGGAATCTCCAAGAGTCAAAACTAATTTTATCCATAACAAAGTTGTACATTTGGCTGCCGCGAACTTATCCTTGGAACCAGAATAGGAATAGTAGCTCAATATGGAGTAATTAAAAGTAGTTTTGGTTTTTGAGAGGTTTTATGTCTTTTTCTTTTTTTTTCTGTAGTTGATTCTGGGTTTAGTTTGGTCACTATTCAAAGAAAACTCTTAAGTTTGGATTCAATTTAATTGCTTAAAAACATTGAACTAGATGAAAATTTAACTTGAAATGGTTTTCGAGAGTGGAAAACTAGGCAACTAGGAAAAGGAGCAAAGTTATAGCCTAACATCCTGGAGACCGACAAGGAAAGTTAAGTCCATTTATTCACAGTAAAGAGGTAGGAATTTCAGGCAGTACATTGAAAGTGACGATACTTGAGAAGTATGGGAAATATTTTTGTGCAGAAATCCTGACATCTTGATTTACTTCACAACTGTTGTCTTCCATCCATGTCCTAAAGATGCCCTCTGTCTTAAATCCGATCTGTTCCCAGTTAAATTCCATTATTTCCCTTTTCCTTGGTTTATTCCCATACATTGGTGAAAGGACACCTTCCAGTTGTTTTTGGAAAGGAAAATTGAGAGGTGAATATTTTGAGACCTTGCATGTTTGAACGTGTTCTTTTACTCTACATTTGATTGCTATTTTTTCGGGGTATAGAATTCTTGAGCAACCTCCATCCACAATTTTGAAAGCTGCTGCTAGCTTCCATGGTGACTACTGAAGTCCTATGTCATTCTGTTCCTTATCTTTTATATATATGACCAGTTTTTATCTCTTGAAGCTGACAGAATTATCTTTATCCCAGTATTCAGTTTCTGGTAAGGTCCATTTTCATCCTTCATCCTGGGTGCTTGGTGGGATCTTCCAGTCTGAATTCTTTGTCCTTCAGGGAAATTATCTTGAACCATTTCCTTAATGATTCCTCATCTGTTTATTCTTTCTTTCTAGAATTCTTGTTATTCAGATGTTAGACCTCCAGGATTGGCTCTCGAATTTTTTTCTTTTTTTTTAGAGAGTTTTGATTTTTTTTTTCAAGTTATTTAAGTAATCTTTATACCCAGTGTGGGGTTCAAACTTAAAACCCTGAGATCAAGAGTTGCATGTTCCTCCAGCTGAACCAACCAGGTGCTCCAAATTTTCTTTCTCTTTATTTTCAGCTTTTTGCTGTACTTTCTGGGAAATTTTCCCAATTTAAATCTTGCAATATGTCCATTGTGCTTTATTTTTCTGGTGTTGTATTTTTAATTTCTAGAGCTCCCTTTTCTTTGGATTTCTTTAAACAGTATCTTATTTTGGCTTCATGGTTGCAGTATCTTATTTCTTTAAAAATACCACGATGTATATTTTATAGATTTATGTGTGTATACACATAGGCATTCATATCTGTATTTTTCCTGCATATTTTGTGGCTTTAAAGGTTTATTTCTTGTTTTCCCTGTATGTTGCCTTTGGTCTTTGTCTTTCCTGTTACAGGCTTTCCTCAGTTTGTGATCCTGGCAGTCTATTCACACTTAAGAGGAGAACACTAAAAGGCTGAGATTGAAAGCTGGAGTGGGGGATGGGTCCCTTCAAGTGCCACATCACGACCTAGCTGGGCTAGATCAGTCTCTAATTGTCTCCTTAATGCTTTGTTTTGGGCTGATTGAAGGGCAGAATCTTGGCTGCCAGAGTCTGCTTTTATTCCCCTTTAAGCCCTGTTCTTCTGTAATTTCTGTATTTGTCTAGACTATCCAAGTTATCTTTTTAAATATTTTCTGCTGTCCCCAATTTGCCTCTCTTCTCTTTAAAACCTCAAAAATGCAAAAATATAATAAAACCTCAAAATGCACGACCTCCACAAGTTTTCCTTTAATTCCTGAGCAAGCCACCATTCCAAGCTTTTTTCCGAAACAACTTTTTTAATCTGTAATTTAATTTTACGCATTTGTGTTCTCTACATGTGTATTTATTTGTTACATGCACTGAAAACCTCTTCTTGAATGGTGCTGTGTACCCCATGGGTGCTAATAAAGACTTGCAACTGGAATTACAATTGATTAATTGTGCCTACATTTATGACCTACCTATTTAGGCCACACTTGGTGTTGCATAGTTTCTAGAAGAAATGGATAATCCCTCAGAAGAGCAGTCACTTCTCCAGCTGATCCCGGGGGTTTGGGACACCTCTCTTACCCATCTGAAGAGGAAAACGTCGGGGCAGGGTGGGGAGCACCTGCAAATTAAAAAGAGATTCGTACTCGGATCGTAGAAGATGCGAGTTCCCCTTTGAATGAAAACTCCGTCTGGGAAACCCTTTGCGGAAAACCCTTTGCGTCTCCCGCCCAGAATTTCCCCCTGGGCAGAGGAAATCAGTCATCGTAGCTTTTGCGAAAACGAAACTCTGGCGCTGCCCGTGAACTTCCGGAAGTGCCGGCGCTGCGTGCAGCGGGCGGGCGGCCGCGGAAGGTGCACCATGGACCCGGCGGCGGCCAGGTCAGCCCACGGAGCCAGCAGGGCCGAGGCCCGGGACGGCCGCGACCAGTTCCCGCACCCCACCGGTGAGTACCCTCACCGGGCGGGCGGCGCAGAGAGGGTGCAGGCCCGGTGGCGCAGGGCGGGTCCCAGGGCCTGCTCGGAGCACTGCGTCCCCGCCCGCGGGGCTACGAGGCCTGGCCGCCGCCGCCTCCTCTTCGGCGGCCCCGGGGGGCCAAGTCCGCAGCCTGGAGCTCCACCTGTGGGAGGTGCGTCTTCCTCTTCCCCCTCCCCTTGCTGCCGCCCTGCTACCCTGGTAACGGAGGAGGCATCGAGGGAGACCAACGGCCACTCTCCGCGGGCAGCCCATCCAGCCCTGAAAGGCTGGTGCCCTACAAGTAGGCGGGAGGTGGGCCCTTCCTTGAAGAGCAGTGGTCAGCTGGGTCTCCGGGAGCAGTTGGGAAGGTTCTTGCAGAGACTGTGATTCTTTGGAACCAGCCACTCCTTCCCATTTAGTAGTTCAGCTCCTGGGGGGGGGGGGGTCCTGTGAGTAAGGCAGCTTGTCTTGTGAGTCTGCACCTTCCCTTCACTCTCAGGTGTAGCGCCCCTCCCGTGTGCAGGGCTGCCGGCTAGATCCTGGGACACAGAGAGGAGTTAGGCAGACCCTGCCGTAGACAGTCACAAAGGCCCAAATGAAGGGTTCCTAACTCAGCCCCGTGTTTAGGGAGAGCTTTATGGAGACCAGGATGCCCATAGTTTTAAAGGGCAAGGATCAACCAGAGGTAGGTTGAAAGGGTGTACCATACAGAGGTGATGACACAACAAAGGACCGGCCTCAGAAGGTCATGTGGCAACCACAACTCCAGCCGTTGGATTTATTTATTCAGCTGGTGTTATCTATAGAATGTTCTTGGAGATGAGGTTCCAACCTGACCTTTTCCCTAAACTCCAGATTTGTAGAACCAACTTCATCAGTGCCTAGGATGGTGTAAAACTGAGTATGTCTCAAAGAGAATTCTTATTTCTCTGCATATACTCATATATTCCAAACCTGTTCAGCCACCAGCCTGCCTTCCCCCCCTTCCGGTCCAGACTGCCCTCAGTGACACTCTTTCTTCTTCACTTCCCATCTAATGCATTCATCAGACCAGTCTGTTCTGTTTTCAGAATGTATCATGAGCCTGACTGCTTCTCACCTGTGCAACCATCCCAGCCCCAGTGCACCATCATCTCCTGACCTGCCTGGAGTATTGGCCTCACTCCTACTCTAACCTTTCAGAGAAACAAGCTGCACAGCAGCCAAGAGGATCTTTAAAAAACAAAAAGCAGATGTGATTCTCCCCAGGCCTTCAATAGTTTCTCATTGCCTTCAGAATAATCTCTTAGTGTGGCCTACAGTGTACCCCATGTCCTGGTCTGATCTTGTCCCCCGGCCATCTTGATGCCTCTGCCACCCCTCACTGCCCTGTGGGTCCTCCAAGCCGCCAAACCCATCCCTGCTTCAGTGTCTTTCTTTTTGCCTCCCATTTCTCACTTCCCCACCATAATTCAAGTCTTTCTCAAGTGTATCCTCTGCAGCTTTGCATGCCTTTCCTGTATAAGGAGCACCCCAGCACCCTCATGACTCTCTACCTCTTCCCCTGCTCTATTTTTTTCATAGCCCTTATTGCTAGCAGGAAAAATACTTAGCTGTCTCTACTACTAGCATATAAGTTCCATGAAAGTTGAAACTCTCATTCTCTGTTTTATTTGTAGTGCCTAAGACAGTGCATAATAGGTTCTTACTAAGACTTTGTTGAAGGCATGAGTGGGCTTGTGTGTACCACTAAGAATTAGCTTGGCTTCTATTCTCTTGGTGATAGAGAATGTCTTTCACAAGAGGGAAACCAGCCTGATCCGAACTAAAAACTTGTCTGAATTCTGTATATCTGAGAGTTGGGCAGGTAGGTCCTCTGGGACTGTCAACTGTGCCCAAGGAAATCAAGTAACATAGTACAAACCTGTCTGTTGAGGATCATCCCTGTGTGTGACTAAGTTAGATAATTGTAAAGAAGTCCACTGAACATCCTACTCCTTGGCTGTCCACCACCCCTCTCCTGCAACACACACATCCTTATTCTTGTTTGTACGTTCTAAAGCTGTCCCCAGTAATGCTTTCTGGCTCTCCCAAATACATACTCATCCCAAAGTTATATCTAGTCACATCATCCAGGGGCAATCCAATGAAGCCATTTATTTTCCAAGTTCATTACCAAGCCTCTAGGTAATGTTTACTCCTCTTCTGTTTTGGTCTTTATCTACTTAAGGTGTGCAGTCACTGGACTCAGTGATAAAATTTACTTCTCCCACAAAACTGGTATCTAATGGAAAGAACTAAAATAGTAAGCTGCAATAAAAGTTAAGTTGATCCAAAAGAAGAAAAGAGGAAGAAATGTCCAAGCCAGCACCATAAATTGGTGGCATGTCCAGAACATAAATCATACCCTACCAGAAGGGGATTGTAAATGGAATTAATAGGATTGGTGACTCTCATTCTATCATCCACTCATGTAATGGTTAAATGTGTTTCTTGGCTATCCTATCTGGCTATCCCAGATTCTGTCCTCTGACTGGATTGCCCTTGCCTGGTGGGCTTTAAGACCATGCCTGGGAAGGGGAACATTTAGAAGATATCCCTGACACTCCTGCAGAGGCTGTGGGCTTAGCAATCCCTTCCCAGGTGAGGTGGACCTGGAGAGCCTGAGATTCACTGTGTTGGTTTGAGTTAGTCACAGTTCATGTGTCCCTGGCTTATCATTTCTCTGCAGCTTCATTCAGTAGAACTTTTCTTGGCCATCAGTTTCATCTTTTGAGAATTCTTGTTAGATTAGTCTCTGAGTCCTTAGGTCTGCTAGACACAGTAGAAGGACGTTGGGGAGCCCTGCTGTCCATTATTCCTGTGTCAGCTGCTGCTAGAGACCAATAGACTCTTCCCTAAAATGCCCCAGCCCCCATAAGACACCTATCCCTCACTGTCTGAATCTATAGTTACTGAATTCAGGTGAGATCCAAATGTATTTGGTCCTGGAGTTTCAGATAGCACGTAGCAGTGTTCAGATCAGCGGGGGGATGTCTGTCTATGTAAAAGCCTCTCAGGTGATTGCCCCAACTGCAGACAGTTACATATGTCTGGAATGCTTCCAGTGTGGAAGCATGGACAAGTGAGAGCCAAGGTCTTTTAGGAAACTATGATGAGGAGATGTTTTACCAAGGAAAAGCCATTAGGGGGAGCCTGTGTGTCCCACTTTGGGGTTCTTTCCATGGGGGGAAGGGGGGGGATACTCTAGGTCAAAAGGCCTTCCCAGTTGCCAAAACCCTAGAAGCCTGTGGATTTAGGAGTGCAACTCAGATGGGCAGAGTCCCCAGAGCAAACAGGGGGGCCATGTTCAGGTATCCATGGCCTGACAGCTCAGCCACATTACATTGGCCCTGTCTGTACATCCTGCTTTTCACAAGAAAAGGGTAACAGTGAGGAAAAAAAAAGTCTAGCTCTTACACAAGGAGCACTGCATGCCTATCATGTTACATTATTTTATTGCTTTTTATTCCATCCTCCTAACTGCTTGATGCTTTTTCTTTTTTCTCTTAAGCCTGTGCTTTACAAAATTTCATGTCCAATTTGTGTCCTTTTTTTAAATAAGAATACAGAATTTAATCAAAATAGATTTTGGGCTTGAGGTGACTAAAATATTGGAATTCTCCCCCCCTCCCCCCATTTTCATCTAGGATAGGGTATTATGTTGTTAAATATTAAAATATATTCTAAAGCATTGAAAATTATGAAGTGCCATATTGGAGGAGGAAGTGACAAAGGAGCAAAATAGAAATACAAGAACAACCCAAACATATGTAATAATTAAATATATGAAAAGGAGATTTAAATCAGAGCTAACCACTATAAAAATAAGTTAGATCTCCATCTCATACTTTATAATAAATTTCACACTAATATGTAATATAAAAATAATTTAACATTTTAGAAGACAATAGGGGTGTTTTCTAAGTTATGTCTCCTTCACCCAAAAGTAGAAACCATAAAAGATATAATTCCATCAAATAAAACATCCAAACATTCTTTATGTCACAGAACCTTAGAAACAGTTAAAAGACCACATAAATAACAAAGGGTCACACTGAATACATGACAAGCTCCTAAATCAATAAGAATATAGCGAATAACCTAATAGAAAACGGGCTGAGGACATCAGTGCCAGAGAAGAAATGCAAATCCCTCCTTATGGTATATTAAAGGCACAAAGATTACGTTCTACTTCTCTGCACTTTGTTGTCCTTTCTTTTCATGTAGTCAGATACTCTTCTGTCCTAGTTGTATCTTTATAATATGGTTTTAAATTAGGTAGGCAGATACTCTACTCTTGTTTGGGTTTTTTTCAAAGTTTTCTCCAAGTCCATGTCTATCCCTGCAAATAATCTTTTCTTTATTTTTCTCAAGTTCTTTAACATTCTTGGGATTTAAATTGAAATGACATCAAACCTAACACTTGTTTGGGGAACTACTGACAGGAGCATAGTATTTCTCTCCATGCATTGTGATGGAGCTTATAACAACTCCCCCCCACCCCCATTGTAATTATTTACTCAGACCAAGAAAAGCATTCACATTGATTGTCTCTTTGTTTGGCAACTTTGTAATATCCTTTCCCCACCCCGCCCCCCGGTTGTGTTTTTGTTTCTTTTTTATTGAAGTTTAGTTGTTTAAAACAACTCTTTCATCATGTTATTCCCCTGTTCAAACATCCCTCCTGCCAGGCTTTCCCCATCTGTTTCTCAAATTCTTTTCCAGCTTCCTCTGCACAGAGACCTCCTTCAGGCTGGCTGGTTTTTTGCCTCCTTGGTCAAACCTCTCAGCTTTTCCCTGGCTTTTCCCCACATGGCTACTTCTGTCTCCAGGCCCTCCTGCCCACCCCCCTCCCCTTCCATCTCTCCAGGTAGTACCAGCTCCAGGCCCATTGTTCTTGACAAAGGGACCACTTCCTCCCCTGGATCCATAGCACGTATTGTTTCTCCACTCAGCAGTATACTACTTTATGGCATTTTTCTGTTATTTTATTTTGTTAGCTTCTTGCAGGCAACAATTCTGTCTCCTATTTCTTTATATCCTCTGCTGTGCTGTTCCCTACCCATGGCTGTGGAGCAATTAAAATGTGGTTTATTCAGTTAAGACACTATAACTGCAAAATACACTGGGTTTCAAAGACTCAGTACTAAAGAATGAATTTTTTTTTTTTTAAGATTTTATTTATTCATGAGAGACACAGAAAGAGAGGCAGAGAAACAGGCAGAGGGAGAATCAGGCTCCCTGTGGGGAGCCCAATGCGGGACTCATCCTGAGACCCCGGGGTCAGGCCCTGAACTGAAGGCAGATGCTCAACGGCCGGAGCCCCCCAGGCGTTCCTGAATAATTTTTTTGTATTGATCAAATGTTGAAAGGATAATATTTTGGATATATTTGAATAAAGCATGTTATTAAAATTAATTTCACCTGTTTCTTTTGCTTCTTTTCACAAGGCCCCTAGAAATTTTGCAGCTGTGGCTCCCATTATGCTTCTGTTGGACAGTACTGTTCTGGAGTGCCCAGCAAAATGGCTCTTCCTACAAAAGGTGCTCCCAAATTGGTGGTGGTTTGAAATGAATGAAGAGGCAGCTGGCCTGTTCCATTCCATTTAAGGATTTTTCTCTTAGTCCTGCCCCCTTTTTCTTGGTAAGGAGTGGCGGTACTATAAATTTGTATCCCTACTAATTAGGACTCAAATCTAGGAGACATAAATTAATTAAAGAAACTCATCTGGGGAGCGCCTGGGTGGCCCAGTGGGTTAAGCGTCTGCCTTTGGCTCAGGTAATGATCTCAGGGTCCTGGGATGGAGCCCCGCTTTTGGCTCCTTGCTCAGCAGGGAGTCTGCTTCCCCCTCTTCCTCTGTGTTCCTCTGTGTTCTCTCTCTCTCAAATAAATAAAATCTTAAGAAAAAAGAAACCCATCCAAATGTGAGATAAATGCTCCTCCAAAGTGCAATCTTCTGACTTTGTGAAATGTAAGATCTAATTTCAGAGAGACACCAAGAGGTCTTAAGGTCTTACACGTTTGAATAATAAGAATTTTTAGGAACACCTTAACTGGTTAACCTCATCTAAATTTAACATTCTCACCATTAAATGGTAAAATAAATCTTTGTTTCAAAACTAAAACTTGAAGATTAAAAACAAGTATGTCCTGCAAAAAACCAAATCAATAAGAGGATAAGCATTGGAAAGGGCAAAAAAAAAAAAAATTGTTAAATGGATATTTATGGCCAAAATAATAGCAAACTCATAGGTTAGAGAAAGTTACCCTTCACTGTCCTGCCCAGTGGGGTTTCGGAAACCAATGGCTTCTTTCTCCCTCTCTGTCTCTTCCCTATTCTTCTTACCTCTCCTCCTCTTAGGTTCCTCTCCTTTCTTCCATCCCTTTCTTTAAAAATAAATAAATAAATTTCCTGCCTTTTTGTATCTTGCTCTCCTAAGTTCTTATAATGCTAGATTAAAGTGCATTTAAATTAAAGCACATTGCTCATTTACTTCTTTAATTCACTCAGAATATATCTTTGAATATAGTTTGACATAGAGGTCTAAAATTATTTTTACAGGCAGTTAACCAGAGCACTATTTATTGAGCACATCATTGTTTTCTTGATTTATATTGGCAATAATAATAATTATTGAGAGCTTAGTATTGCCAAGGCAGTGTTTTGAGAGCTCTATGTTTAAAGTCGAGATTGTCTGTCTGTCTTTCTCTTTCAGTAACCTCTGTACCCAACATGGGGTTCAAACTCCCGTTCCCCACATCAAGAGTGATATGCTCTTCTGACTGAGCCCGCCAGGCAGCCCCTCATTGTGCTTCTTGAATAAAGAAGCACATGTTTAGACATTTTATTTTTTTTTCTTTTTTTTTAATTTTTTTTATTTATTTATGATAGTCACACAGAGAGAGAGAGAGAGGCAGAGACATAGGCAGAGGGAGAAGCAGGCTCCATGCACCGGGAGCCCGACGTGGGATTCGATCCCGGGTCTCCAGGACTGCGCCCTGGGCCAAAGGCAGGCGCCAAACTGCTGCGCCACCCAGGGATCCCTGTTTAGACATTTTAAATGAATTCATTAATTTATGATCCTTCCTTTCATTAAGCCATTTAAGAAATACACAATAAATTGCTTCTCCACTTGGGTACCATTTTTTTTTTCTTTCTCTGAAAGTTGAGAATCTCTCATAAAAACAAGTGCTCTGCCTTCTACTTTGAGACTGGTGGAGGAGTTATGGAGACCAAGAAGTTCCACTTTTCCATTTCTCATCAGGGATGTTACTTATAGGTGTCTTTCAGGTTGCAGAAAAGATGGAAAAAAGGACATGTGCACTCTGCCCCAAAGACATCGAGTATAGTGTCCTATACTTTGCACAATCAGAGAATATAGCTGCTCATGAAAATTGTTTGGTAAGTTACTTGAAAACTCATGAGTCCTTTTAGAGAAGGACATACCCAAATAGATAAAAATTGCTTTGCAGACAATGATGAGTTGGCCATGATTTAGGCTTTTAAGTGGGGATTTGGGGAGCATATTTTTCTAACTTTTTAAACTGTTTCAGATCTTACCATCTTATTCCATTTTAGCTTTATTTATAACTGATCAAACACAATTATGATGAAGAAGCTTCTTTGAAGATATCTTAATGAGATATTTCAAATATAACCAGTACCTCTAGACATTGCACCCAGATTTGTAAAAGTATAATGTATTTGCTTTAGCTTGAGTTTTTTTTTAAAGAAATAAAACACAGATAGTTAAGGATTCTCTAATTCTCTCTGTTCCCCCTCCACGATCCCTCTTGAAATATAATTGCCATCACCGATGTGCTGTTTTTTAATATCTTATATATTTTATGTTCTCACCATGTATATTTAAGTGCGTTATGATATTGTTTTATATGTTCTTGGACTTTGTATAATTTCAGTCAAGTTCTGTGACTGTTGAGATTTATCCATGTGATAAATTTAACTCCTACATCTTTCATTTTAAATGTTACAGAATTCCATTTTGCGACTGTCACTACTAAACTATTGTCATCTGAATGAGCATTTTTAGGTTTCTATACCTTTTTTCATATAACTAACCAGCAGTCATGAACATCTTTGTATAGGTCTCCTGTTTCATGGGAAAATTTCTCAGGTATAGGGCACATCGCTAAAACCAGAATTGCTGGACACAGGGAGCGTTTTGCACCTCACTGCATGTGCCAAATTGCTCTCCAAAAGGATTGCAGCAAGTATGACTGACGCACTGTTTCAGAATTTGTTTCTCTCCTTGCTGTACATAATACGATGAAATTTTAATTTTTTTTCCTCCAATGAATGTATGTGAAATAAAATGGTCTCTTGCTTGCATTTGCAATTCCTTAGATCATTAGGGCGATTGTACCTCATTTGGCTGTGCTTTTGCACAGTTGTTTCTTGCTTCTGTGACTTGTGTTTGTAGACTGCATTTTGTCTTTGAGATCCTGATTTTGCTTACATGTATTTATGTATATAAATCGATTCTAATGCTTTATTACATATGTTGGCTTTTAATTTGTGGTGTTTCCTGTCAGAGACTTATAATGTACTTAAGTTTGCCATTATTTCCCTTTATAATTTGTAGGATTTTTTTTCCCCTAAGAAATTCTTTCCTTTACTGAGGTTCTCTTTTTTCCCCAAAATTTTAAAATTTGGCATTCTCATTTAGTTTATTAATCCAACAGGAATTTATTTAGACTACTCTGTAAAGTAGGGACCTCTTTTTTTTTTTTTCTTATGAGTAACCACTTTTCCCAGCATTATTTATAGACTAATCAGTTCTTTTCTCATTGACTTATAGTGATAATAATGGTAACTCCCATTATTATTTAGTGTTCGCCAGGTGTAAGGTACTGTTCTGGGAGCTTAACCTGCATTAAACTGTTAATCCTTACAGCAACCCTAAGAGGTAGGTATCGTTACTATGCCCAAGCTAAAGATGAAACAACTGAGGCACAGAGAAGTTAAATCACTTGCCCACGGTCACACAGCTGTAAGTGGAGTCAGGATTCTTACCCAGGCTGTCAGTCTCCTTCTGGAACTCTCGCTGTTAATCCAATGTGCTAACAATATAACATTTGTGCACAGATCTGTTTCTGGCTCTATTCTCTTCCACTGATCACTTTGTCTATCCCTGAGCTGGTATAACATTGTCTTAATCACTGTGATTTTATGATAAGCTATAGCTATTTTTTGGTGCTTTGAATTTTAGGATCAGTTCACAAGGTTTCACACAAATTTCTATTGGAATTTTAACTGGAATTCCAGTGAATTTTTAGTGAAATTGGTTCACTAAATTTAGTGAAATTTAGTGAAATTTTTAGTGAAATTGGTTCACTAAATTTAGTGAAATTTAGTGAATTTAGTGAAATTTCCAGTGAAATTGGGGGGGGGGGGCGGGGAATGATATGAGTGCTTCTATGCATCAACAGAGTCTGTCTCCAGCAATTAATATCTTTTATGGATTTCAGGAATGTTCAGTAATATTTTTTCCATAGAGGTCTAGAACTTTGAATTAAGCTTTTTCCTGGGTTTTGTTGTTGTTGTTGGTGGTGGTGGTTTATTTGTTTCATCACCTTTTTCTAATATATATTTTTCTAACTTAAGTATAAAAACAATTGTAGTTGACACACAATGTTACATGGGTCAGGTATAAACATATCAAGTAATTCTATTACTCTGTACGTTGTGCTATGCTCACCATCAGGGTCACTGTCTGTCACCATAACAGTGCAGTTACAATACCACTGGCTGTATTCCCTATGCTGTGGCTAACTCATCCCATGACTGGAAGCTTATACCACCCATTCCCCTTCACCCTTTTTTTTTTCTTTTAAGATTTTATTTATTTATTCATGAGAGCCATGGGGGGTGGGCAGAGACACAGGCAGAGGGAGAAGCAGGCTCCATGCAGGGAGCCCAATGTGGGACTCAATCCCTGGTCTCCAGGATCACGCCCTGGGCCGAAGGCAGAGCTTAACCACTGAGCCACCCAGGCTGCCCCCCTTCACCCTTTTTGCCCGTACCCTCCCACCCTCCTCTCTGGCAACCACCAGTTTATTGTCTGTTTCTTCCTTTTTTTTTTTTTTTTCTCATTTATTTTTAGTTTCCTCATATAAGTGAAACCATATGGTATTTGTCTTCCTCTGTCATTTCACTTAGCATGATTCCCTCCAGGTCCATCCATGTTGTTGCAAATGGCAAGATATCATTTTTTATGACTGAGTAATATTCCATTTTATATTTTTATAAATATTTTATAATATTATATTTTATATTTTTAATATATTACTATATATATTACACACACACACCACCTTCTTTTTCTATTCATCTACCAATGGACACTTGGATTGCTTCCATATCTTGGCTCATATAAATAATGCTGCAGTAAACACAGTGAGTGTCACAGGGTGAGTGTATCTTTTTGAATCAATGTTTTTTTTTTAAGATATTATTTATTCATGAGAGACCCAGAGAGAGGCAGAGACACGGGCAGAGGGAGAAGCAGGCTCCATGCAGGAAGCCCAATGCAGGACTCGATCCCGGGACTCCAGGATCACACCCTGAGCCGAAGGCAGAGCTTAACCACTGAGCCACCCAGGCATCCCAGAATCAGTGTTTTCATTTTCTTTGGGCAAATACCCAGTGGTGGAATTACTGAATCCTATGGTATTTCTATTTTTAGTTGTTAGAGGAAACTTGATAGTGTTTTCCACAGTAGCTTAGCCATTTACATTCCCCCCAGCAGTGCATGAGAGTTCCTTTTTCTCCACATCCTCACCAACACTTATTTCTTGCCTTTTGGATACCAGCCATGCTCACAGGTGTGAGGTGACATCTCATTGTGGTTTTGATTTACTTTTCTCTGATGTTAAGTGATGCTGAGCATCTTTTCATGTGTCTGTTGGCTATCTGTACATCTTTTTTGGAAAAATATTTTTTCAGGTCTTCTGCCCATTTTTAATCAGATTATTTGGTTTTTTAGTGTTGAGTCACAGGAGTTCTGTATCTGTTTGGGATATTAATCCCTTATCAGGTATATCATTTGCAGATATCCTCTGCTAGTCAGCAGGTTGCCTTTTCATTTTATTGATGGTTTCCGTTGCTGTGCGAAAGCTTTATTTTGGTGTGGTCCCAATAATTTATTTTTGCTTTTGTTTCCCTTGTCTGAGGAGACAGATCTAGAAAAATGTTATGGCTGATGTCTAAGAGGTTACTGCCTGTGTTTTCTTCTGGAAGTTTTATGGTTTCAGGTCTCACATTTAGGACTTTAGTCCATTTTGAGTTCATTTTTGTGTATGATACAAGAAAGTGGTCCAGTTTCATCCTTTTGCATGTGTGTGTTGTTTTCCAACACCATTTATTTATTTATTTATTTATTTATTTATTTATTTATTTATTTATTTAGATTTTATTTATTCATGATTGACAGAGAAAGGGCAGGGGGGAGGCGAGGGAGAAGCAGGCCCCATGCAGGGAGCTGGACATGGGACTCGATCCTGGGTCTCCAGGATCACACCCTGGACTGAAGGCGGTGCTAAACCGCTGAGCCACCTGGGCTGCCCTCCAGCACCATTTATTGAAGAGACTGTCTTTTCCCCCATTGTATATTCTTGTCTCCTTTGTTGAAGATTAGTTGGGCATACAATCATGGGTTTATTTTTGGAGTTTCTGTTCTGTTCCATTGATCTATATGTCTGTTTTTGTGCCAGTACCAGACGTTTTATTACAGCTTTATAGTGTATCCTTAAATCTGAGGTTGTGATACTTCCAGTTTTGTTCTTCTTTCTCAAGACTGCTTTGGCTATTTGGGGTCTTTTGTGGTTCCATACAAATTTTAGTATTATTTGTTCTAGTTCCCTGAAGACTGCTATTGGCATTTTGATAGAGATTGCATTGAATCTGTAGATAGCTTTGTGATTGCATTGTGTAATGTTGACATTCAGTTCAGAGAGAGGCTGGATTCTTTTGGTTTCAGGTAACACATAGAAACTTGAGCCAGCCTAAACATAAAAGTGGATTTTTAATCAGACTGCAGGGGCATTTCATGGCTCCTGAAGGCAGGCATGCAGGCAGGTCTAAGAACAGTAGCTAGGAAGCCATCAGGGACCCATCTTGTCCTCCCTGGCCCTCGTTTCCATATTCCTCTCTGCATACTGGCTTGCTCTCTACCATGTGGCTCAGAGTCTATTCCACTCCCTCAGGAGAGGGAGTCCAGTTGATTCAGCTTTGGGTCAGGGACCCAACCAGGTCCAATTAACCACTGGGGGTCAGGGTTATGCAGTATAAACATGTCTGGGAATTGGGGCCACTTCCAAAGAAAAGCAGGGTGGCTTGTGATCTGCTTACATACCCCAGAAGGTGGTCACTGTTATACCCCCAATCCATCTTCCACTCCTGGTAAGTACCTCGTGATACCATTTTCTGATTTGTAGCTTTCAGCGGTACTTTGTACATACTCTGAATTTTTTCTTTTCCCAATCCATAGCTATATTCTTCAGCACTTGTGGAATGTGAGGATCATGATCCATGTAATCAAGATAGAAATTTTGATGTGGAATCAGTAAAAAAAGAAATCCACAGAGGGAGGAAGTTGGTAAGTATAAATGATTTTATTACTCCTACAAGTTGAACAGATCTTGAAGGGGATGTTTCCAAAAGGAGGTCGATTTGATTGGTAAACCAGGGATAGAAACACATCTTGGGGAGCTGAAAGACATAGGACCTGTACTGGAAACTTAGATTCAAATGAACACTTAACTATTTTAAAATAAACTACAACATACTTCGCCAGCAAAGTAGATATGAGTTAGAATGCTTTTGGCTGTAAGTAAAAGGAACCCCCAACTCAAACTGGTTTTAACGAAAAGGATGCTTATTTTCTCACTTAGCCAGGGGGAAAACTGGCTTCAGAGTCAGTTGATTTAGTGACTTAATGGTGTCCCCAGGAGCCCATCACCCTTCCTGTCATCCTGTCCACATCAGTTGGTTCTCTTGTGCTCACACGGTGGTCACAGGCAACAACTGCAGTGTCAGTCTTTCTTGTTCCTGTCTGGCAAGAGAAAGTCCATTTCCCAGGCATGGAATAAGAGCCCTTCTGAAAACTTTTGCACATAATTAATCAGGATCAGTCCCCTTGGACCTGGGTTGGCTCCCCTTGGGAAGACAGAGTGTAGAGCAGTTACCCCATTGGTTCTGTTACAGTACCCTTCCTCTATGAAAAGCCTTTCATTGCGACACCTGGGTGGCTCAGTGATTGAGCATCTGCCTTTGGCCCAGGGCGTGATCCTGGAGTCCCAGGATCGAGTCCCACGTCGGGCTCCCTGCATGGAGCCTGCTTTTCCCTCTGCCTGTGTCTCTGCCTCTCTCTGTGTCTCTGTGTCTTTCATGAATAAATAAATAAAATCTTTTTTTTTTTTTTAAAGGAAAAAACAAGCACCATAGTGCAGGTGGGGCCCAGGAAGCCTTCCTGGTTGGAGAGGAGTAAGGGTAAAGAAGATGGGGAAGGAGGAACTCCAGCAAAAGGGAGTAGGATGTGCAGAAGTTCGGAGGGCAGGAGAGACATGCCGTGTTCCTAAAACTATAGGCATATGACTGTGGCAATCTCCTGACTGCACGGAATTCCACAGGATACCCCAGAATGCATGAAAGCATGCTCTCGTTAGATCATGAGTCGACTTTGGTTTTTCACTGTAACAACTAAAGCTGCGGACCTCTTGCACACGTCCTGTGTGCTTGTTTGAACACTGCCATAAGCCCACTGCTAGGAGTGCAGCGGCTGAGTCAAAGGCAGTTCCCCTAATAATACTGAAACACACTAGGAAGCTGTCGCCCAGGAAGGCTGTGCCACTTCATACTTCTGTGGATGAAGGAACGCTTTCCCCAGCCCTTGGTGGAAACGGGTGTAACAAATCTTGTTACTGTGTGCCTTCCCTCATGGCTCGGGAGGCTGAACATTCTCCTCAGGCACCTGCCTCCCTCCCGGCGCACCCAGCTCCCACGGTTCCTCTGTGCTGCATTTGCCCGTCAGTGGCCCCACCTCACGGCCACAGCCCAGCACCACCATCGCCGTCCTGCAGACACCCTGGGCTCCCTGTCCCCACTGTCCATGCGCACGTCTCCTTACTCACCTAGTAAACCAATCCCCCCCACCGCCCTGCCCCAGGGCAACGCACCTGTCTGTTGTCTGAGTCCTACTGGCACTTTCACAGTCGAACTACTGTACAAAGCCCCACAAATGCGTTGACTGATCTTAGATTCATGGCCACAAACCTCAACAGGAATCTCCACGTCACCCTCCACCGTCTACATTTACTGTTGCATATCCTCTCATCTCTTTTTTAAAACATCTCCCGACCTCAACTGTCCATCCCCAAGTTGATGACTGTGCCTTATTTTTTTTTTTTTATAGACTTCTTTTAGAGCAGTTTTAGGTTCACAGAACACTTGAGGGGAAAGTACAAAGATTCCCATCTACTTCCTGCACCCACACGTTCATGGCCACCTTTTTATCAACATCCCCCACCAGAGTGGTGCCTTGTCACAACTAACGAACCTACATTTGCACATCGTCGGAACACCCACACTCTGTGGTTTACATCAGGGTTCATCTCGGTGGTATGCGTGTCTTTGTGATTTTTACTGAGAAATGGAAGCCATTAGCCAGGAAGTCCTACCATCCAAACCACTGCCCATCCACCTCTGTCCCTAGACTCGGGCCTACCTGTTGTCAAAGTCAACCCTCCACTTAGACTTTGGGTTTTTTTATTTATTCATGAGAGACAGAGGGGCGGGGGGAGGTGGGACCTGGAATCCTGTCCCCTATCAGGCTCCCTGCTCAACAGGGAGCCTGCTTCTCCTTCTCCCCCTGCTCATTCTCCTGCTTGTGCTCTCTCCCTGTCAAATAAATAAAATCTTTTAAAAAAAGAAACCAACTAGATGGCCAGATTTACTTGGCTGGATTTTGTTTTGTTTTTTTAAGATTTTATTTTATTTATTCTTGAGACAGAGAGAGAGAGGCAGAGACACAGGCAGAGGGAGAAGCAGACTCCATGCAGGGAGCCCAATGTGGGACTTGGTCCCGGGTATCCAGGATCACACCCTGGACTGAAGGTGGCGCTAAACCACTGAGCCACCGGGGCTGCCCTCCACTGATGACTTTTGAAGTCATCACCTGCCCGTCCTTAAGGACAAGCCTCTTACATTTCCCTTTACCTCCTCCCTATGCCGCCCTCTCCCAGGTTAGGTCCTCCAGCATATATCATCTGAAACCCTCCTTCGTACACAGAAAGCCCATCCATTACAATATCACTTTTGTCTTTAGCTGACCTTTCATCAGTATTTATCACACAGTTGTCCGTGCCCTGCACTTTTTTAAAAATTATTTAAAGATTTTATCTATCTATCTATCTATCATCTATCATCTATCTATCTATCTATCTATCTATCTATCTATCTATCTATCATCTATCACAGAAAGAGAGAGCACAAGTGGTCCGAGAGGCAGTGAGAGGGAGAAGCAGAGTCCCTGCAGGGTGGGGAGACTGACATGGGGCTGGATCCTGGGACCCTGGGTTGTGGCCTGAGCCGAAGGCAGGCGCTTAAGCAACTGAGCCCCCCAGCACTTTCTTCCTTTGATTCACTGCACACACTGCTGGTGTGTCTTACCTTTCTGTTTGCTTCTTCCCAGGCACCTTGGCTTATTTTTCCTTGTCTGCTGAATCTCCCAAGTGTGCAGTCCCCAGAGTCTCCCAGGCTCCTTCCTCCATCTGAACCTCTTTCCTGTGTGACCTCTTCTAGTTCCCATGGCTTCAATTCCATACTTATTCCTCCCGCTGTGATAACCAACCTGACAGATGTATGTCAATACCTACTAGTGTCTCGTATTAAACTGGCCAAAGAACACAGTTCCAGCCCCTGCACCCACGTACTCCATCCAAACGCTTCCCTCCTCACCTCAGTGAACCCCCCCACCGTTCATCCATCGTCATCTTCTCGTCAAGCTCCCAGCCCAGCATCCGCTCAGCGCTCCCCTGCAGGCCCCCCGCTTCCGTCACTAACCCACGGCAGTACAGGACGGTTGCTCACGTCACCCAGGCGTGTTCTGCACTCTCTCCGGCTCATCCTCACCGTCACCCATTCTCCACACAGCCACAGTAGTGTCTTTAAAATACCCATCTTGGGGCGTCTGGGTGGCTCAGCTAGTTGAGCATCTGAGTCTTCATTTCATCCCAGGCCATGTTGTCAGGGTTGTGAGACTGGGCTGCATGCCAGGCTCTGCTCTCCACACTCTGCACTGAGTCTGTTTGGGATTCTTTTCCTCTCCCTCCATCCTTGCCCCTCTCCCAGCTCATTCTCTCTCTCAGATGAATAAAATCTTTTTTAAAAAATAAAATATCGATCACTTCACGTTCCTGTTGTACAAAGACAAAACCCCCAACTCCTTACCCTGGTTTGTAACCCTTACTTACCTCTGGGTTGTAACCTCTGACTCTCCCCTGAAGCGCATCTCTTCTCGGGCATCAGCCCACCATCCCGTCTTGCCAGTCAGCTTGCCAATGAAGCTCACTCTTGTCACAGGAACATAGAACCTTCCGCCTAGAATATCCTTCCCCCTGCTTTTTTTTGTTGTTGTTGTTGCCTACTGGGAGCTCTGGTTATTATTCAAATCTAAACTTCTCCATCACCTCCTGAGAGGCTTTTACGGATCCCCAATCTGAAGTTGGGACCCAGTGAGTGTCACCTCACCTTATTTTAATTCTTACAAGGCATGTATCATCACTGTCTGTTAAAAAAGGTAAGTCATGTGTTTTTATTAGCTCGTTCTTTGCACTAAGCATTTGGTAAACGTTGACATCTGTAGGCTTAGTGTTGCTATAATTACTGGGGTTAGGTATTTATTTACTTTGTTGTTGTTGTTAAAATTAAATGTATGTTCATTAAGAGGTATAATTAAAGAAAGAGAAGACACAAACCCCAGGTTGGACAGACATTTACCACACATGTATTATCACTGTGTTCTTGCATTTGCTTTATGTGATCATGGTCTCTCTCCATTTGAATGTTCACTCCACGAGGGCGGGTGCCTTGTCCCCCCAGGACACTGCCCGCCGCATCACGCTTACTCGGTAGTCTTCAAGTGAATCAAATTTTATTAACCATTTGTATTTCTTCTGTGGTTTGCATCTTCCCATTTTTCTCTGCATTTATCCATCTTAAACCTTTATCAACTACGCAGTGAACATTTTTCTTTTTCTATTGATGTGGTTGACCTACAATATTAATTTTAGGAATCCCAACACAATGACTTGACATTTATGTACATTATGAAATGACCACAATAAGCTTGATTACCATCTGTCACCAAATTCTGGTATTACTGACTATATTCTCTGCATTCTATCCCTGTGCTTTACTTTTTTAAAAACTAAATGTTTGTACCTCTTAATCCCCTTCACCTACTCCACCTACCACCACTTTATGCTTTGTATTTTTGAGTCTGTTTCTGTTTTCAGACATTTTCATTGTTTTCCTGGTAGCTGTCACCATAAAAATGGAAGTTTAAATTTGTTTATGTAGTCAGAGCATCAGTCTTTTTCTCTGTGGCTTCTGAGTTTCCTTCCTTGCTTAGCTTTCCTGACTTTATACATTTTTACTAACTTTAAAACTTTTTCTCATAGTTCACATCTTAATCCATGTGAAATTTGAGAATACAGTGTGAGGTAGGGATACAACTTTATTTTTTTTTCTACACATAAAGCCAGGTGGCCTCCATATTAAATGATCATTCTTTGTGCTCTGATTTGAAATCCCACTTTTAGCATAATCTAATTTCTTACCCATGTTTGAATTTTCTTTACTTGTATGGTTGCCTGTGCTGACTTTGGGATATTGTTTGAGCTACTTCCTGTTCTGCAAGGTGGTTTCCTCGAGCTTCCCCTTCAGTCAGAGCATGATGTAAATCAAATCACTTTGGGCATGGCTTGGACTCCCCTAAACCAGTTAGATTTCCTTTGCCACACACCGTCCTAGCCATCTCCACACCACCTTCATATGTAAAATACCAGATCAATTGGCAAATATATAGAAGCGAGAAATCAAATAAACTGAACCTAAGGGGCGCCTGGGGGCTCAGCAGTTGAGCATCTGCCTTCATCTGCTCAGGGCATGATCTTGGGGTCTTGGGATCGAGTCCGCATTGGGCTCCCCATAGGGAGTCTGCTTCTCCCTCTGCCTGTGTCTCTGTCTCTCATGGATAAACAAAATCTTTAAAAAAATAATAATAAATTGAACTTAAAAAAATTTGCTACTCAGGGTTTTGTTTTTTAATCTTAAATTCCTGGCCCTACTACATAGACTCCAGAGAGGTTTCACTTATTTAATCTCACGCTGCCCTCAGTAGAAACTGTAAGACCTGAAAGGCAGGGTTATTTGGGTTATTTGCAGGGAGGGATCTGAGTCTAGGAGAGGGGAGGGCCGGGTGGACCACACAGCTCAGTGGCACCATCAGCAACCACCCTCACCGTGAGCCCCAGTGTCCCTAACAGGACCCCTTGCCTACAGCAGGATAAATCTCTTTTTAGTTATCTCTGGTAAAAAGGTTTGGGGTTTTGTATTTTTTTGAAGCAAGAAGGGTTTTCTGCTTTTAACCAGATCATTACAGGTCAGTGCCAACCTAGCAGTTTACTAAGAGAGGTTTTGCTGAAATTTCAAAATGAGCAGCAGGATGTGGCTATGCTTAAAAATAACACTTAATGATGTCTGTATGTTTTAACAAAGATCACGAAAAACAGGTGTTTACTTTCGTAAAATTCATTCTTCTGTAGAGATGCGCTTTCTGTAATCGGAGGGGAGCTACCGTGGGATGTGACGTAAAAGCCTGTAACAGGAGTTACCACTTCTTCTGTGCCCAGAACGACCATGCGGTTCTACAGACTGATGGATCGCGAGGAATATATAAGTATGTATAATGGAACAGTTTTTTTTTTTTTTTTAAGATTTTATTTATTCCTGAAAGACCCAGAGAGAAAGAGGCAGAGACACAGGCAGAGGGAGAAGCAGGCTCCATGCAGAGAGCCCCATGCGGGACTTGATCCCAGGATCCTGGGATCACAATCTGAGCCAAAGGCAGACGCTCAACTGACTGAGCCACCCAGGAATCCCTATACCATACTTTGTATATTTGATTTGCTCAGAAACTCATGGGTTATAAAATTTTCATTTTTTATTTTTTTACCTTCCCAAGGAGCTCATTTTATTAAGACTTCCACGATGACCTCAAACACCCACTCGACACACTATTAGCAGAGCTATGAACAAAAAGGAGTCAAATTCCTGCTACATCTCCAAGTTTGCAAAAATACTGATCTTGTATAATCAGGAGAACCAATTAATAGAGACCCAATGAAACAATCATTTTTGTCATTACCAGGTATCAGGTGAACATCTATGCATTTTTAAATTTACTTAAACATTCATTTGTGAAAAAAAAACAAACAAAAAAAACCATTCATTTGTGAAGAGTGCCCATGACAGACAAGATACCTTGCTAGGTGCGGTAAGAATATAGAGGAACAGACATGGACTGAATCTCAGGGAACCTGTCACCATGTGGAAGGACCAGAAAGACCAGGACTAATAGAAGCACATGGCATAATGGGAGCAGGAGGGGATTCACACACAACCGGCTTCGTCTTGAGTTGATAACTGTTGAACTGGGTGATGGGTCGGGAGCCTCCACTTTTGCGTCTGAAATGTTCCATAATTAAAAAAAAAAAAAAAAAAGTGAGTGCCTGGCAAACAGAAGTGCTCAGATCCTGGAATCTAAAAGGTTGAGGAGATTAATTTTGCTCAGGTCAGGGGATGGGTTGCCAGGAAGACTGCACGTGAGAGGTGGAAACTGGTGTGTGTGTGTGTGTGTGTGTGTGTGTGTGTGTGTAAGACAGAAAGAATTCCTGCATTCCCACAGGCAAGAGGGACTGTGCCTCCTGGGGGTCAGCACCGTAAGGAAAGCCAGGGGCACGTAGCTGGGCCTGAGGAGGACGAAAGCTCCGCAGAGTTCACTGTCTCCGGTTCTCCTCCTTGGCCTGCGCTGCGTCCTTCTGTTCCAGGGCACTGATCTATCCTAGATTCACGCGGTTCAGCTCTACAGTCCAGGGAGATGCCTGCTGAGTCAGAAAACGAGCTTCCCCCGAAATCCATGCACACAGATGTGTACCGTTGTTGAAAGTCAGCAGGACTTTGTGCAGCCAGGTGAAAACCCGGCCTAGAGCTGGGTCCTGAGCTCTCCCTACATGACCGCTTGCTCCCTCGGGGCCCACAGGCCTCTGCGGGGGGGCCCCGGGGCAGCGAGGAGGGGCAGGCGCTTCGCGGTGTTGACAGCATTTTCCTTGGGCAGATATCTAGGGTGAAGCCATCAGGAGAAACAGGCTAGTTCCTTTTTAAATCATAAGAACATAGGCGTGGTATTTTAAAAGTCTTAAGTAAGGGGATCCCTGGGTGGCTCAGCGGTTTAGTGCCTGCCTTTGGCCCAGGGCATGATCCTGGAGTCCCGGGATTGAGTCCCGCGCAGGGAGCCCGCTTCTCCCTCTCCCTGTATCTCTGCCTCTCTATCATGAATGAATAAATAAATCTTAAAAAAATAAATAAAAGTCTAAGTAAAAGATGTTTAACGGTTCTTTGAAATTGCCTGTTTTCAGAGTGTTCTGCCAACAACATGCTCCAGGGAGCAGCGCTAACGGTAAGTCTCCAAGGTTTAGTCCTGAGGGTCCAGAGCTGGGCACATGCGTAGGACCGACACGGGAGAGTCTGACTTACCAGCCTCACTGACCTAAGTACAGAGTTTCAAGTCACATTCTTACATGCTTAGAAAATTGCTGGTTTCTCTGTGCCGTGTGACAGACGCATTTTTCTTCCTTGCACACTAGACCTACTCCCAGGAAACTCTCTGTCTGCTGCCTTCCATCCCCAGGACAATCAGAGGATCAAACGAGGACGTGGTAAAAAGCTTTGCCTTGTGACTGCCTCTCTTCTAAAAGAGTATCAGGATTTCCAGTGCACAGAAACTGATAATTTGCTGCACGTTCCCTGAATGTTTCCTAAGAACGCATGGCTAGCTCTTAGGTTCTGATTAAGGGAGACTGGGCCCTGCTACCGGGGGTTACGGGATGGACCGTCCCCCACGAGTGGCCTCTGCTTACTGCCTGAACCGCAGTGTCTTACCAGCACTGAATCTGGAAGGCTCACGGGGCCGGGAATCAGGACCTCTCTGGAAAAGGCTTAGCTCCGTATCAGGCCAACTGCATTCTTAGTGGTAAATAGCACTCTCTAAACGATATTGTTACCCTCATTTTTTTAGTACTCTTTTATCAGGGATGACTGTAAAAACATAGCTTCGATCAGTATTTATTGATAGGGAAAGGTAACAATAATGTAATAGGGATTTTTTTTTAATTAAAAAAATTTTTTTTCTTTTTTGGAGCATGCACACAAGCAGGGGTGGGGGTACAAGGGGAGGGAGAGAACCTCGAGCAGGCTCCACACCCAGCAAGGAGCCCTGACACATGGCTGGGTCTCATGACCCTGAGCTCACAACCTGAACTCAAACCAGGAGTTGGACGCTCAACCAACTGAGCCACTAAGGCGCCCCAGCTTTTTAAATTAAAAAAAAAAAAAAGTTTTTAATGTATTGGTATTAAAAGGCAGATTATGACACTGTTAGGAATCTTCGCCCCAGAAGAAACTACCCGTTTCATTTGAATTCTTCTAAAAATTTCCTGTATATACAAACTGACGTACTACTACATTTTGCTTTCACTCAGAGATCCTTCCGTACGTGTACAAATGGATCTACCTTATTTTTGAAAGGCTGCGTTACATTCCATCTTGTGTGTTCAGTTGCCTGAGTTACAGCTGAACTACTCTCTGCACGATGCACTTAGGTTATTTCCATTTTTTCCTATCGCACTGAATAGCGGAGTTGACGCTTTTCTCCATTCGTCTGTGGGCCTTTATGCGACTGTACCATTTGGAAAACTGTAGATTGCTGGGTCAAGAGTATACACAAGGTGGTTGTGATGACAACCGCCGCATCATCTCCCACAGCAGCTGCACCAGCAGCCCACCATTACCCCAATCCTTGCAACATTAGACGCTAAACACCTTCATCTCTGCCAGTCTGATAGGTGAAAATTATTGTTTTGCACGTCTTTCCTTAGGAGTAAAATTGAGTGTATTGCCCTATCTTTTAAGCTGTGTATCTGTTGTCCTGTGACCCAGCCTGTTTTTCTATTTAATCAACTCATCCTACAAGGTTCCCTGTTTGCCTAATTTTTCTACTCAACTGTCTTTTTCATATTGACCTAGAAGATTTTTGTTATTTTAGAAACTGGTGCTTTATCATATGTTGCAAACATGTAGTGTAAGTCTGCTGTAAGAGTTTCCTGTTTTATGTAGTCAAAATCGGTCTTTTCCTTTATGGATTCCAGTTTCTACATGACTTCTATTTTCCACTGATTTTTCAGGAGTGAAAAGAAAAAGAGGAAAGAGACCTCTCTCGACAGGCATTCATGCACAGGTAATCTGACTTTATTATAGCTTTCTGGTTATTTACATGGTTTCTTCTTTATTTTAACCATTTAAAGATCATCAGGTGAAATGATAACAGAACCGTAATATGATGAATGGAAAAGACAAGCTGGGTGTGTCTTGGGTGTGCTAGCACGTGGCCTTCAGGAGGCGACAGTCCCGTGGCCTCCGTAACGGGTGTCCTGGTACCAAGTCAGCGCCGTGTGCTTCTGGCTCTAAGAGGGGCAGAGGGGCAGGAGAGCATCCCGACCCAGCCAAGTGCTTCTCAGCTACACGGCCCACACCTGACCTGCAGAATGCGTGATTTTCAAAAATTTTGTGCATTCCTATTGTATGTAAAGTATATGAAATGTTTTGGGGATTTGAAACCGGTTTTTTTACACATCAGCTTATATGAGCTAAATTAATATACGCCAGCAACCTTCTCCGCTTGCTGTCTACACAGGAGGAGCCCATTCCTCTCGGTGTTTTGTTATACAAAAATAATGTGACATTTACATGTAAACTACAAACAAATGCGCATGATTTTCACCACAGGCAAATGCAACAAAAGACTGTTTTCGCTTTACCCAATATCAAATGCCAACAAAACCGATGTGATCTTGATTTTTCTCTCCCTCTAGCCACCTAATGCGATGACACTGAATAGACTCATAAAACACATGAAGGATGAGGATGGCAGACACACAGGTTGGCTATAAATTTTGTATCGAATATGACCTTACGGTACTCATAAAACTGATAACCCATTGATTTCAAAGTTGGTTCCCCCTTATCCCTGTAGACTTGTAGTAAGTGTAAGAATAAAAACCTTTTATCCTAACTATCCACTCTATCCTAAGCCCGGGAGATCAAGGTACTTTAGGTGCGGAGAGTCCCTTGTCCTTTGGTACCAGGACAGATACATGTCCTGGCCTGGAAGCCAGGGTTCCCTGAGCCCGGAACACGGCGATGTGCAGTCTCTTGTACCGTGACCCACCCCCCAGGAAGCTGAAGCTAGTAACTCCAGCTTTCTGTCAAGGAAATGGGACATTCCATAATGACACACAGTTACTGTGACAGAAAAAAAAACGATGGGGGCTCCATTTTAGAGAATCCTCTTGATTCAGATACTTAGTCTAGGCCAAGAAGTTTTTATTTTCACTTTCTGTAACATTGTTTCAGCTGGGAAAACACAAGGTATGATGAAATTACAGTGAAAAGATCAAGGTGTGGTGTTTGTTTTCCTATGGATTGTGTCCATCCACCGCTAGGCATGGCCTGAAGAAGTGACCATAAAGGGATTTATGATAGCCGCCCTAAGACCATTTCTTTCTAAAATGTTTTTCTTATTCTTAGATGCAACTGTGAAGATGGATTTTCTTAAGAAATGTAAGGAAGCAGGGCTTCTTAATGATTTATTTGAAGAAATATTAGACAAACTTCATTTGATCCAGGAAAGACTCATGGATGACACTGCTTCTGATTCAGGTACTGAAATAGCAACATTCCTACATGTAGAGACTTCTTGCAGACCTACTTATAAAACAAACCAAAAGTACACGTTTTCTTTCTATACAATTTCTTTCATCTTATTCTTTAATACAGTTCACTGTTCCAGGTCTCTAGTCTCTTACGCATCAACAGGATGTGGGTAATTCAGACTCATTAATTCAGTGAAAAGCACCCGGACACTCTCAAAGTCTTGATGTGCTTTGCAGAAGTGCAGAGCTGAGAGTGAACACCAGGAGGGTTAGCGCCCACATGCAGTCACACGCCTGTCCCCTGGTCTCCCCTGGCTGCTAACATCTGAGAATGGCATTCTGTTACAGTTTTGATTTGATTCAGATTCTGTTCCTTATGTCTTCTTTGATAACGTTAACTCACAGTTTACAGGAGAAAAAAGGTCTGATGTTTCCCTTAGTTAAATGGGGCCTTTCCTAAAGAGCTCTTTGGGAAACTGAAGTTCCATTTGTGTAGGCAGGTGTGTGGCCACTTAGCCTTTGTAGACCCTACGCGACGAGCTTAAGTACAGTTACATTACAAGGAAAAGCCTGATGGTCTATACTGTGGGCAACGAGGTCAAATATATGATCATCTGAAAGGGATGGTTTTCTAGAGGGCAAAACCCAAAAGTGAGAAATTAAAAGCAAACATTTCCAAAAATTCATTCATTATATTCTTATGTTCATTTTTTCTTTACGTTAGACTAAGCACTTCTCAATCTTGAACATTCCCCTCAGAATCCCCAGAGGGCTTGTCAAAGCCCCTGACAGGCTCTGGAGCTTCTGATTGGGTAGAGGTGCCACGCATTTGCATTTCCACCATGGCCCCAGGGACACGGCCGTTCCTGCGGTCTAATGCTGAGGTCACGCAGTGCGGTCGCACAGTGCCGTGCTGTGCTGTGACTTTTCCTTATTTGGGGTTTTTCTGTGAGCGGTATCTGCCTGTGTAAATCATTTAAATTAAAACAAAATGTTTTTCTCTCTACAGACTATGAAGAAATTGGGACTTCACTTTTTGACTGTAGGTTGTTTGACGACGTATTTGTAAATTTTCAAGCAGGTATGTGAGCAGCATAGTTCACAAGTATTTATACATACTCAAGGGATATAATACTATTCAGGTGACAGAAATCATATTTTAGAAGAATGTTCATTGTCTTTCTAAATGAAAAACCCCACCACAGCGCAGTCTGATCCCTCCCTCACACCTGAGGGGACACGGTCGTTATCTGGAGGTGGCTGCAAGTGCTGCTTTCGATTTTCCACATGTTCTACATACACATCACACCTTAGTGATCGGAAGAGACTCAATTTTTTGTTTCTACTTTTTTTTAAATGATTGCAAAGTGGGAGGTCACTGGGCCACACGTTCAGGACTCAGCAGGAGCTGGTGAGGCGGCCAGGCCCTACTGCACGGCTGCGCCCCTTGATTTGATGTGTATGAATTTTAATTCTCCCAATATTCATCTTCAAATCTTACTGGGGGAGGGAGGGCTGGAATTCATGGATTCTAAAGACAATTTTGAAACAGAAGCAAGCCTGGTAAGGCAGAGACTTAAGTGGTTGATATTTTATGGAAAGGTTTTATTGAGTCATCACATTGTTCACCTGAAACCAGTATGACACCACCGTATATTAATAATCACCCATTTAGTGAAGAGGTCCTGCCCCCAAGATGCTTTAGAACGGGCTAAATGTCCACTTAGGGCTGAGTCTGATGTGGCTTCTCTATGCAGCTGCCACACAGGCTGTGCACTGCACAACCACAGTGCTCTACTGTCCATTCAGATTTTGCATTACATTTATTATCAGGAAAAACGGCCTGTCCTTTAACAGTCTCCTGAGTATATATGCACACTGCTGAGGGGAGCATCCACATATTTTTTCAAAGCTACTTTTATAGTCTTTTTCTAAAAAGGCTTACTTTGCAGGGGACTTTCATCTGTGAAAAGTTGCATTTTCACTCCGTGCATAGGTTAGCTGGGAAGATACACATCACGGTGGGGCGTTAGGAGGAGACACTGAGACCCCTAGGGGGCATCCCTACTGACACACACGCTCCTGATTTAATGTTGCTCCATTCCAACGTTCCACAAAGTTAACTACGGGTATTCTAGAGGAACATTTTATGTATGATTTAATATTGTTCAACTTTGAGGTCTTCAAAAAACCACACTGTCACTGAGTGACACCATTATTATAAAGCCTAAGGATCTTCTTCTTCCTAAGTTTCCACAATAAAGGCCTTCCCGCTACTGAATAAAACCAAAAGCTTTTATGTAACATCAAAAATTGGCTACATTTTAATGAAAGATTTGCCTTTATCCTTGATATTCTAACCTCGTGCTGCCTCCACTTACCCTCTCTCAACAACCCGGGGGGCAGTGTGGCCTGTAGCTTACACAGTCTCTGCTCTGAGTTCCCAGACACGCAGAGGTGCGCTGCCCTAGCCTGACCCAGAAGAGGCGGCAAGGCACACACGTGCTAGGCACCTGGCCGAAGGGGCCCTGTTCGTAAAACTGCAGTCGCGTTTCTTCTTACCGCAGCGATACAGAGAAAGATCCATCACTGTGAAGAAAGGCAGCAGCAACTGAAGGAAGAGCTCGAGGCACTTCAGGACCTGAACCACATCATGTACTTTACTCACGAAGACAGAGACGCGAGGTCAAGTTCTCTCTCGGTGTCTTCTGTGTCGTCCAAGGATTACCCCTTCCAAAACCAGGAATGAGGCTCGCACCCAAGCAGCTGCACCCTGAAGACCCGACCTGGGCAAGCCACACGTCGTTAGGACGAGGCCGCTCCTGTCTCTCTGGTCCTCAAACTTCAATCCTCCTTAACTCTTGCCTGTTCTTGCTGGTTGACATTTCGTGCCCGCCGGGGTGTTTTTTTTTTTTACCTCCTCCCTCTTATTATCATCTCACGTCTGCTCTCCAATAAAATGTTGAGTACACTGGCTCTTACCTCCCATCTCTTCTGCCCTCTGCACTGAAAATACTCGGGCGGCTTCGTGCTGGTGCACCGCCGCCCACCCTTCCCCCAACTCCAGTGTCTAAGTTGATTCCAGTAACACACAAGGTACTCCTGAAAGTAAAGTCTCCCCAGGGCCTTTGCACATCTTGCTGTGAAGCCTTCACTGCTCTTCTCCCTTTCTCTGCCTTTCCTGCTGCAGATCTCATTACACCAGTTCCACCCTCATTCTGTCTGAGTACTTCTTTCTCCTGTCACCACTTCCCAATGTAATCCCCTCGATCTTCCATCAGCTCTCTGAGGGCAAAGCTCACTATTCCTGTGTTTAGTTCCCAACACGCTCCCAGCACCTAGCATGCTCAGTACATGTTGAATAAATGCATCAACTGTCCTTATCTTTTGAGACTATTCCAGCTCATGATGACAGATATAACAAATTTAAATATTGAATAAATCTGATTATTTTTACTTCACTTGTACCAAATTTACCTGCTTTTTAAATTTCTTTTCACCTGCTGTCACTATATGGGCATACATCATCTTCAAAATAAACATTTAAATTTAAAACCACTCTTTGAATACCAGTGGAAATATGCAAGAATGAAAAAGAATCATTAAGGTTTCTCTCAAGGGGCACCTGGGTGTTCAGTGGTTAGGCATCTGCCTTTGGACCGGGATCCTGGGATTGAGTCCCGCTGGGAGCCTGCTTCTCTCTCTGCCTGTGTCTCTGCCTCTCTCTGTCTCTCCTGAATCAATAAATAAAATCTTAAAAGATTTTTCTCAACTGGGGGTGCCAGGGTGGCTCAGTTGGTTAAGCAGCCGACTCCTGGTTTCAGGTCATCTCGGGGTGTGAGATCTAGTCCCATGTTGGGCTCTGCTCTGAGCGCAGAGTCCCTTTCCTCGCTCGCTCTCCCAAAAATCAAGTCTTAAAAAAAAAAAAAAAAAAGGATTGTTCTCAACCTAACAATATACAATTTGGATTTTTATGCACCACCACCATGTCTGATTCCTGAAAACCTTATATGTTCCATTTCTGATTTTTTAACACAGCACTCTGGCTCACGGTAATGGTACATTTCAAAACGAGTCTCACCCGAGCCCCTTGCATGGCATCTGGCACCTAACAATCCTCCAAGAAATCCACTGGAGGAATACGGTACGGCTGAAAAAGAACAGGCCCACTCCCGTTGTGGTGGCAACCGCAGCTGGAACCATCACTACCAGAGGGACAAAGTCTAAATCTACTGTTTTTCAAATTCCTCCGCACATCAGAATCACCTGGGCATTTAAGAAACTCCAGGGTGGGGATCCCTGGGTGGTGCAGCAGTTTGGCGCCTGCCTTTAGCCCAGGGCGCGATCCTGGAGACCCGGGATCGAATCCCACGTCGGGCTCCCCCGGTGCATGGAGCCTGCTTCTCCCTCTGCCTATGTCTCTGCCTTGTCTCTGCCTCTCTCTCTCTCTCTCTGTATGACTATCATAAATAAATAATTAAAAAAAAATTAAAAAAAAAAAAAAAAAAGAAACTCCAGGGTGGAGGGCAGGAAGGTCGGCGGCCGAAAACATCCTGAGCTCTCCGCTCCCCTGAGGTGAAGCAACGACTACACAGGCTGCAGCTCACTCTGAACACAACCTGAAGGGGCGCCCGGGGGGCTCGGGTTGAGTGGCTGCCTTGGGCCCAGGGCCTGATCCCGGGGTCCCGGGATCGAGTCCCGCATCCACTCCCTGCAGGGAGCTGCTTCTCCCTCTGCCTGTGTCTCCGCCTCTCTCTGGGTCTCTCAAGAATAAGTAAATAGAACCTTTAAAAACAACAGTGGGGCTCACCTCAGGGGGGAGCCAAAGAGCTAAGGAAACGGGGTCCCTGCCCTTCAACAGCCAGCACCCTAAGGAACTGCCCAAGACACCACACAGATGCCAGAGTTTGGGAAGCACTTGGGATACAGGTAAAGCTTTATTGACTAACTTTAGGATGCGGGCCAGAGGGGCAGGAGTCCGCAGAGTTCTTTTGTTCTCTGGGAACAAAAGTATTGGCCGCTAATTTTCTTGCTGCCCCTGCCCCCCGCCTCAGGCAGCCAGAGGCTTTAGGAGCCAGCGCTGCTGGTCCACTGCCGTTCCATCGACCTCCCAGCACCATGTGCTCTGAACGCCCAGTGCGGTGTTCACATACCAGACTAGCAAGGAGGCTAAACTGTATATACACACATTCTGGTCAAGGGACACACAAAATTAAAACATGTCCCAGAGGACACACACACAACATGGAGGAGGGAGTAAAAGCTGAACAGTGTATTTGAACTTCACTGACCATCAACTCCACAGAGACAGCTATACACAGAGGATGTTACCCACAGACCAAAAGCCTATGATACGTACACAAGAGGTCAGGGACTGGAATCCAGCATGACAGTAAAGATAGCCGTCAAACCACTCGGGAAAAGAGAAGAAAAAACAACAACTAGAAAACAATTAACAAAATGGCAATGAACATACCTATCAATAGTTCCTTTAGATGTAAATGCACTAACTGCTCCAATCAAAAGACTCAGAATAACTGAACGGATTAAATAAAAAAAAAAAAAAAAAAGCAGGACCCATCTGTATGCTGCCTACAGAAGACTCACTTCAGACCTAAAGTCACATGCAGAAGGTGAAGGGACTGAAAAATATACACGTTGTAAATGAAAGTGAAAAAAAAAAATCTAGGGTAGGAATACTCGTATCAGATAAAAGAAACATTAAAACAAAGGCTCTAACATGAGACAGAAAACAGGTCATGACGTAAGGATGAAGGGATCACGCCAAGGGGCCCTACCTGCCCACCGGGCCGGAAATTACCTAGCGGGGGAGCTGCCCCTCCTTGTTGTCAGAGGTTCAACTGCCCGGAAAGCCTTAAAACGCGCAGCGGAGGGGACGCCGGGGCTGGTCCTGCCCGCGGGTACTCCACGCGTTTCCACGCTCTGGGCCGCCGTGCCCCCTGCCCTTCTTTCAAAATGCCACTGTCCATTGGGGAACGTCGGAGTGAGGCTGGGAGGGCAGTGAGGCGGGAGGAGAGGGGGGGATAGTAAGGATGAAGGGATCACGCCTGGGTGGGTCAGTGGGACAAGCATCTGCCTAAAATCAAAATGGATTCAAGACCTTAAATGTGACACCAGGAAACACAAAACTCCGAGAAGAGGACACAGGCAGTCATCTCTGGGACATCATTTTTCTGGAGGGGTCTCCTTGGGCAAGGGAAACAAAAGCAAAAATAAACTAATGAGACTGTATCAGGCTACGAAGCTTTTGCACTTTGCAAAGGAAACCATCAGCAAAGGGAAAACTACTGAATGGAGGAAGATACTTGCAAATGACATCTGATAAGGGGTTAACATCCAAGATCAATGAGGGACCATACAACCCAACACCAGAAAGTCGAATACTCTGATGCAAAAAACGGGCTGACGACCTGCACAGACATCTTTCCAAAGATGACAAACAGATGGCCAACAACGCGTGAAAACGTGCTCAACATCACTGGGCGTCAGGGAAATGCGAGTCGGAGGTATCACCTGACCAGGAGGCGTCACCTGACACCTGTGACAATGGTGAGTACCCGAGAGACAAGAAACAGCAAATGCTGGTGAGGAGGTGGGGAGAAAAGGACCCCCGTGCTCTGTTGGTGGGGATGTAGACGGGCGCAGCCGCCACGGAAGGGGGTGTGCGGGCTCCTGCAACAACTACACCGAAAGGTACCCCGATCCAGTAACTGCAGCGCTGCCACTTAGCCAAGGAAAACTAAGAATACTTCCTGTGAAGTGGCGTATGTACCTCTGCTTACTGCAGCGTTCTCCACGACGGCTGAGCCACGGAGGGAACTACGGATCCACGGATGGACGAATGGATAAAGAAGCCGTCTCACACACTCACACTCTCACACACTCACACTCACACAGGAATATTACTCGGCCGTAAAAAGAAGAATGGAATCTAGGGACCCAGAGGGTACTGTGCGAGGTGGCCTGAGCCAGGGACGGATACCATATGGTGCCACGTGTATGTGGACCTGACACATAAAACGAATGAACAGAAAAGAGAAACGCACAGAGAAGGGAGGGGGACGGGAGAGGCAAACAGGTGGCAGGACTGGGAGTTCCAACGTGTAGGCGTAACATCAGTGACGGGGATGGAGGGAACAGCACAGGGAACGCGGGCAACGGCACCGTGAGAACCGGGCGCCTGGCGGCCGGTAACGCCATGTACCCCAGCGGGCGCTTCGTCACGCACAGAATTGTCGAGCCCTGCTGACAACCTGAGACGGGTCAACTGTACTTCGATTTTTGCAATATTCTGAACCGTACACCTAGAAAATGGTTAAAATGGTAAATGTAGGTTTTACCACAATAAATAAGAATTCAGGAAGTGAAAACGGCCCCAAAACGACAGGCGCCCAGAGCCCGTCCCCGACACGCTGAGCCTTCTCTCGAGCCAGCTGTGACTTTACTCCGCCTTCCTCCCCGAGGGTACACCCTGGAGCAAAGCTTACCTGCGTGTTAGTGTCATGATCTTTACTCAACACCCCCGTCCCCTCGCTTTACCTTCTGACGTCATCTGTCGTTCCCACCACGGCAGGTCACTTGGCACCGCGGAGCAGCACGGGGTTGACGGTCACAAAGGCGGCCAGCAGGAGGCCGACTATCAACACAGACGCAGGCCTGTACTTGTGCGATGTCACTTCCTACTGAAAAACTTCCATCGAATCATCTACTCTACCTAAGCTTCGTTCTGCGTACCTCACAGCACAAAACGTGGGCACTAAAAAAGAAAATACATCAACGTCTGGCACCGTGGGAAATAAACGTCCTCACACACACGCACACACACAGACGCTCGCCTTGCCCACGCTTCCTTCTAATGGGCCCTGGCTTAGGCTCTCCATTCTAACCAGACTTGCTTATGGCAGGTTCTGGAAGGCTCATCAGCCCCTAGTCCTAAGCCTGGGCTTGTGCCACTTACCTGCTGTTCTGGAATGAGCGAGAAGGACGCTTTAACTTTTCCCTACACTTGTGCTTCTCATATTAACCTATTAAGTTTCCCCTCACTGCTGTGAAAAGCTGTTTATAAATGTATGTTTTTGTGTCAGTTCCTAAATCTCTCTCTCGTCTCTCCTGATAACTTCTAGGTTCCTTGAGGACAGGGACTACGTCCTTCCCTTCATTTCTTAAGTACAAGGATCCAGACACATTTTTCTGCCGCGACGGTTCACCTGTATTATCTTTCAGCAGGAATAAAACCATAGGATTTCTCTGAGGGGAGGGGACACAACTGGGAAACAGGGGACATGTTCACCGTGGCACCCGTTTTAGCCTGATACCTGCTAAGAATCACAGGAACAATTTGTTTTTTAAAATCGTGGCAAAGCACACCTAGCATGGAACTTACCGTGCTAACCACGGCCAAGTGCGGGGATCAGGGACGGGGGGGGCGGGGGGGACGTGCCCACGGCTGTGCTGCACCACGCCATCCACGCCATCCACGCCATCCACCTCCAGAGCTCCTGACATCCTGCCAAACTGAAAGGCTGTAGCCACGAAACATGAACTCTTGGAGTCCTCTCTCCTACCTCCAGCCTCGGGCGGGCAGGGTTCTGCTGTCTCCGTGACCTCGGCCACCTCAGTCCCCTCCCATACTGGGTCATGCGGTCCTTGGCCCCCAGTGACGGGCGTGACGTCCTCAGGGTCACCCAGGCCGCGCAAGGGTCAGGACTTCCTTCCTTCCTGAGGCAGCGCGTTACTGATCTTTGAGGGGAAAAGAACGACCCTGCACACACGTCTTACTAGATTATTTATTAATATGTCATTCTAAACGTTACATAAATACAGTCTATACACCAGAGTATCAAACATTGTTCCAGTAAAAGTTCAAGAGTACATTTAGGGCTAGCTTAAGAAATATGAATACTTTGGCTTTCTTTATTACATCAGATGAAAAAAAAATTCAAAGAACAGTTTTCCTTTCCTGCTATGATTAACAATAAAACCAAGTAGAAAAATAAGAGTGTATTTAAAAAAAAAAAGGATACTCAAGTACTTTTCAAAGGACTTACTCCCGTTTTCTTCACTACGCACATATTAATACAAATTACTCAGTAATCTACTGTGAAAAGTGGCTCTTCACGTATATGAGGAACCTCAGTAAATATCTGTTGAATGAACAATCTGTGGAAATGGATCTACTGCTTTACTTTGTGCTTTTTTTTTAAGTTTTCTTTTTCAAGTAAGAGTAACAGTAAACATACTGAAGTTCTTGGTTGTCCAGATCATAAGCCTACGGAACAGTGTTACAAACACTACCCATCATAGCTAATAATCAGATTAATGTGCATTTATCAACCTAGTAAGAAAAGTTCTATCGTGTTGCAGAAGTAAGTCTAACGTAATAATTGGGCTTCGATCACTTGTGACATGGTCAAGAAGAGGGAACTGGGATCGCCAGGTTTATAATCATCTTATCAATGAACCATGTTTGGGGCCCTTGCTCCCACTCAACCCCCTAGACACACCTAGAAACACTGCTAAAAATAGCAGCTGCAGCGTATCTTCTTCACCCTCTGGTTAATTTGGCTCCGAAAAGGTACTTAGGCTCCAAGTTCAGAGGAAGGAACTTCCAAGCAGGAAAGAGCTCACAAATGGAAATGAGTCCGTGGGCCAGAGAGCAGAACAAAGCTCTGTTCTTACCGGGGGCTCAACGGACACACGTGATAGAACCCAGAGCTGAACACTCTTCCTCCCAAAGTCACGTTTCATAATCAGACCAAACAAAAACAAAAACAAAACAAAAAATACAGACCAAACTGAACAGATCCTTTTAAATAGGATCTTTCAGGGAAACCATAATTCTGATCCTTTTTCAAAGTTAAACTGTGCGAAATATTATACGTGACACAATTAAAAGGTGAGGAGATTTAAAAGGAAAGCTGCTGAGGTTACAGATAGGCAAATTTGTGATACTTGGCCTAGATAAGAGGGCTAAAATGCATTCCAAGGCCTGCCGGAAAGGTGGTTTTAAGAACCGCTTCTCTGAGTGGGATGCAGTAGATCTGACGACCCAGCAGCCGTAATTTAGGAAGGCAAGGCTATACTGAGCATGTCACGACTCTCCTCCCATGATGAGCCTTTCAAGGGAAAACGGGGGGGGGGGGGTAATTTAAACTTCAGTTCTCAGACTCTGTCCTAATAAAACAAAACACTGTTGGACAGTAGTGGAGATTTTAATCCATAAAATATTGACCTTTGTCCAAAGCTCCTTCATTATCAACTTTTCACAGGTAGTCCAGGCTCCCGAGAGATCTCGGCCGACCGAGAAGTTCATCTCTACACGTTCATCATCTCGACACGTTGGGCTCCTGTTACACTGAGTATTACTTTGATACAATCATGAAGTCAAAAAAGGTCCCCAGTGGTGCAAACACTGCACACTACCCTAACTACACCTTCACAGAAGCCCCAAACTCCCTCCACTACACCTTCACCCTTCACAGTATGGCCATTGAACTAGCAACTAACGCAGCATTTCAGCGCGTGCCAAGGTCAGCATCCCTGGCTCAGGGTGGGGCCTCTGGGACTATCTCACAACCCACAAACGATCCCCCTTCCCGGTGTCCAAGGGCTGTCAGTGTGTGAACCCGGGGAATCGCCTCAGATCCCCCTTCCCAAGTTCAGAGGGTCCTCTCATCAAAAACAACACGCAAAATACCAGCAGCTAAGCTCCCCCCTTTACAATGTTCCAGCCAAATCAAGGTCACGTTGGAGATACACGTGTCTGGAAATAAGAGTCGTTCAAAGTGGGTTCGGGAAACGCTGTACATCCTTCCCATATCCGTACGCGGGGCGCTGTGTCTCAGATGTGGAATAAAAACCCACCGGATGGGGCTCCACCTGCAAAATCACATGCCCCGCACAGCGCACAGCACGCCCGGCGCCCGCGCCCCAGAGCACTCACAGCACCCAGGGCCGTGGGCTTCAGTTCTTGAAGGCTCCACATTTACTGGCTTTAGCAATGAATTCCTTCAGCAGGGGGCCATCCATTTGCCAAAATGCCGCAGTCTGTGTCACTTCTGTCAAATGATTGATGCAAAACTTAAAGCAGAATTCTTCTAAGTCCTGGACGCACAACAAAAATAAAAACAAGAGGCCTTTTTTATTGACTTTGATCGGATCGCCTCTGTCCCACGCCCTCTCCCCAGGTCCTCCGCCCTCCCCTAGGAAAGATGTGTGAGGCCAGAGAGCTCCCCCTCCGCAAACGAGTGGCCGCAGGTGGTACCAGCCAGGCGCCGCCACTTAGCCAAAGCGCAGCGGAAGCAACGAGTCCACCACGTCAGCCCGACGCCCGAGAACACGGAGCCACTCACAGCGCCGGGGGGACGGCCTGAGCACGGCCACGCGGTCACCCACGCGCCGGGACCCCGTCCCGGAGGCCACACAGTAGCGTCCGTCCGTCCGTCCTCAGCCCATCAGGTGTTTCGCACGGTCAAGAAGTCGGAGAGAAGCGTGAACATTTAGCTTCAGGAAGGTTCTAAGGAACAGAAAGTGATGAAGAGCCGCCCCTCGAGAGACACGTCAGAAGAGGGAAGAACTCGCCAGGACCTCGAATCCACTTCCGCGCCCTCCTACAGAAAATGTCCTCGTCCCCAAGCCACGAGGAAGCGCAGCCTACGCTGCCGCCACGCCAACTCCTCGGAGAGCCGACCGGGGAGGAGACTCCGAGACCAGAGTGTTCGGCCAAGGGTCTCCCGCTACCGACGCCCGGAGGAGAGAAACCTGCGCGGGCGGTAAAGCAGGAAGGGGGGGCCCCAGGGCCCCCCGACACCGGAGCCGCCCCGGCGAAGGCAGCCGCTCGTCCCCAGCCTGACTCCCAGGCCCGGTTCGTCCTTCGGACTGCACCGTGCATCTGCCGAACCCGTTAGTGCCAACGGAGAGCAGGTCCACGTGATCACGGTGACGCCGAAAGCTCTTATCACAAACACCTGGGCCTTCGCGACGCTGCCAGCTGCGCTGGCGTCAACACTCAGGCCTCGACCCAAGCAGGGGCCGACACCGCTGAAGCTGCCGTGTGGCTCCACGTGTCCAGCCCGCGGGCGGGAGCTGCAGGCGGAGACACGTCCCCTCCTACTCTCTCAGCGCGACCCCGGCAAGCGGACGCTCCTTCCTCTAAGGGCCCCTCGGTCCCCAGGGGAAGGATGTCCCCTTCCCATCGGAGCCAGTAGGACACAGGTCACGTCTAACGTGCGTCAGTCAGCTGCCGCCACAGTTTTGTTAAAACATCAGCACGGTCTTCGCATCAACATTTTAAAACAGGGTCCAGGAGGCTGAAGTGCAGCTGAGCGTTCTGCGTGTTTTAATGAACTAAAGTGTTATTAGACCATGCAGAACGCTCCTCCTCACGCTGTTACTGAGGAAAACGCCCTCCCCCTGGCACTAGGACCCAAAGATCAAGCAACAGCTTTCGGCACCAAATTATATTCCACGGGGAGGTAAAAGTCATTTTGATTTTATTCGTCAAAAAGAGAAAACTAGTCTTTCTACACGTGATTCAGGGAGAAGTAACCAATCATTAGCACGGAAAGTTCTCCAGACCGTGCCATGTATCAGACAAGGATCTTTAAATACTGACTTTTAATTACGTCATTTCAAATTCAAAGAAGACTGCACTAAATTCTCACCCTGCACAACCTTATCGTGTCCATGTCTAGAAATCTGGAATCCACGTTTTTTAGAGTACCTGTGGAAAAAACGAGTTTGTCCAGTTTACTAATTACACAGAGGCGGTCTTGAGCATGAACTTTAAGAACTTTTTACGTGGCGCAAGTTTACAAAGGGCGCTCTGCCGACCAATCGCTCCACTCCACGCATTAACGCAAACAGGCCCATCAAAGTGGCCTCCCTTCCCCTCCAGCTAGTCTGAATTGGTGAGAGACCTCAGGATTCAAAAAATGTTTTGCAGTTTCAGACATTGAAAGTTTAACTAGAGAATCCTGAAAATAATCTAAATCTGGGTTATTTATATGAGTCATTGTTGTTTAATAGCTGAATCTCGCTTAAGGCAGATCCACGGAAAAGGAAGCAGTGAACGCACCTGGAGAGAGAGAAACTGGGTTTGCAGGTTCACTGGCCGTGAAGCGAAGCCGAGGGGCGCGGCCACGCAGCTGACCCCGGAGCCAGCGCCCTGAGCCAGTTTGCCTTTGATGTGTAAATGAGATAAAGGTTTTTCTGGTAACTCTTAAGTATTTGAAGAGCCAAACTCGATCTGTTCACCTTATTCTGCAAATGGTCATATCTTCACTACCCAGAAAACACAGCGCTTACCAGCTAGTGAGTTACCTAGAACAGGATTGCGGGGCTTTATATGAAGTATCTCCGAGAAGAACAAGAAGGATCATCTGACCAGCAGACGAAGCTCATCACAGACTGAAAGCATCTTCGTAAGGCGCACGGAATACAGAAGTCGGGGAGGGTATAAAATCAGGGGCTCTAAAACGGTATTCTTGGTACTTTACTAAAACTGAATTCCTTATTAATGAATAAATGGTGGTGAAATTATTATAAAGTGGTTCCGAGGTAAATCAGATAAAATATCAGCTTTGCTGCAATTAGCAAGGAAGCTCAAAATAAATTGCTATTCTGAAATAATTTATAAATTCATTCCAAATTTCCTGACATTTGAATCATTTCATTAACTTGTATACTCTGAAGATAACTTGTTTTTTCTTTCTATAGATTTTTCTTTAGTAACAAAATAAACCACAAACAACTGATGGCTTTAATACCCACATTTAAAAAAATGCTACTACAGCCTGAATGAACTTAACCAATCCTAAATCCTCCAAAGCTAAAATAGGTGAATGCTAAGAATTCTATGGAAGGCACGTGGCCAGGGTGACATAGGCGGCCTCTGTGTCACAAGCCCCACTTGAGACACATTCCAGATGGCAAGAGACTGTGAATTACTCCTACTTATGTCCAAATATGTTGTTAGGGTAGTAACAAAAATGAAACCCCAAAACTTTAAGTTTAGAATTTATTTTATAGTGTATGTCAGGTGCGAAATATTCTAGATCACAGTGGTCTTTGGTTTGGTCTTTTAGAATACTTAAATGTCTTACTACACAGGACAAAATAAGGTGCTTTGTCTCACTAACCAAAAAAATACTTTACAGTCTACTGATCATGGAAAACTTTTAATTTCAAAAAAGAAGGAAAAAAAAAACCTCACCATCTGGCTTTACCATAAAACTTTTCAATACCAATATCCCAAACCAATTCTAGAATTAGATTCCTGGCCTTATTATTTATGGCTTCCCACCAATACCAAAATCTTAGGACATAAGTTGCCCAGCAAGTAGGACTTTCTGGGAAGCTGCCTACTCTGGTTCTCAACTATTTCTCCTAATGTTCAAACATATATAGAAAACAAAAATTTGGGACACCCGTGTGGCCCAGCGGTTGAGCTTCTGCCTTTGGTTTAGGTTGTGATCCGGCGGTCCCGGGATCGAGTCCCCCATCGGGCTCCCTGTAGGGAGCCTGCTTCTCCCTCTGCCTGTGTCTCCACCTCTCTCTCTCTCATGAGAAAATAGAATCTTTAAAAAACAAAAACAAAAACAAAAAACAAAAACTTCCTGAAACAGTATAAATAGAAACATTTCAAAATTCATGTAATGAGATCTAGAACTCTCTTGGTACAGCGTTTCACTCACATTTTCTCCCTTGATGGCAATGTTCATTTGGGTTTGTACTGGAGGGATGGAGAAGTGCTCCTGTGCGAAGCCCTTCAGTCACGACCTACGGGAGCCTGACAAAGCACTCACAACTCGAGGGCCCCACGAGCAGCTTACTGTAAAACAATCTTCCTCACTACTGAGTCATTTTTGTTGCTTTATGTGCGTATATTTGCTTGGAAACTATCTTGTCAAAGGGGGTATAGAGGAACTGCAAAAACTTTCAGAAAAGAGAAAAAACGCGAGGAGCACGTAATCTCCATCTTCCTAGTACTTCAACCACAGGATGAAGGAAGAGTCATCCGGTCTCCCTAAGCAGAACTTCTGAAAGTCACTCAATTTTTTTGGCAATTAATTTCCAATCTGCCTTAAGAGTAGCTTCCTATCAACTAATGGATACGGTAAGTGGGTTTTATTTTTATATCCTAAACACTTTATTATTTACTTACTACATTTTAGAAGGAACTACAATGTGAAAGTACATTAGTCAATCATAGAACTCCTGTAAGAGTCTAAAAAGAGAGAGAGCCTAGAAAGACAGAGGTGGTTTTCTTTTTTTGTCTTCTGTTTTCTAATTTTCCTACACTGAATGTATAGTATTTGTGGGGTTGGGGGTTTGGGTTTTTGCATTTTTTAAAAAGCACAGCTTTGTGCTGAGGTATTTTGAATACATTTAATCATTCATTTAACTCCGCATACACTCCTGAGCGCCGACCAAATGCCCATACTCTCACAGACTCTAGGGAATCACATGTATTTTCAGTCTCAAGGAAGGGACAGTATTTAATGTGTCTATACTTAATATGAGAAAAATGAAAACAGGTAAATAAAAAAAACAACAACAACAAACGATGAGCTGGCAGGGGCAGACGTGGCACAACGTTTTTTTCTGTGAACTTTCTGGGGTAGATTTTAGCTTAAAGTGAGAAAGAAATTTGCAGCACCTAGTGCGGAGATGTTTGCCTCTGGCCAGATGGTTCTAACTGGTTTTAGTCAGCAATATCCTAATCCCAGGAATGTGGATCTCATTAGCAGGGAAGAGTGGTAGGGAGAGACCCAGAGAAGATGCTGAAGTCAATGAACAAACAGAACAGACATTGGCCAGTTAAAAATTGTATCACTGGGTAGAATGGAACCTAAAGAAAGAGCACTTGTAATAAAGAAGTTCATGGCGTCACAGAAGAGGCAGAAAATCTATACTTCCGTTTCCTATTAGAAATGATCTACTTTGATCATCACTCCATCTGTTGCCAGGCCACAGTGAAAGTCAGCTGTATGACCTTATCAATTATTTATAATCATAATATAATCTCAAATAAAAATAGGATGCATCGTGAAAAATATAAGACACAATGATCCATTCTGATCCCTAAGTGTGATAAAGATGAAGTCTGTCTTCCCCGACACCGAGGCCACAGTTACAGACCTCTGTAGGTGTTTGGTAAATCCCCAGATGCCAGGCACTGTGCCTGGTCAAATGATGACAAAATCCCTCTAAGAATGGGCTGTGTCATTAAAGGTGTCTGCCTTAGTCGGACCTCTTGAACTCCAAGGCTACTGCTCTCTACATTTTGTTCTCTATAAATTTTTTTTTAAGATTTTATTTATTCATTCATGAGAGACAGAGAGAGAGAGAGAGGCAGAGACACAGAGACACAGGCAGAGGGAGAAGCTGACTCCATGCAGGGAGCCCGACGTGGGACTCGATCCCGGGACTCCAGGATCATATCCTGGGCTGAAGGTGGCGCTAAACCGCTGAGCCACCGGGGCTGCCCTGTTCTCTATAAATTAATAAAACCAACCATACCAGCCTTTAGTTCACCAGCTCTCCTTAATACTTCCTCAGGTGGTACCATATTCATTCAGTTCAACAGACATTTATCACCCAGTGCCTACCGTGTGCCAGGCACTACCGGGTTCAGAGATGAAAAAGAACCTGTTCCTGCTCTCAAGTGGCTTACAATCTGATGACATTCTGGTCCTTAACTTCAAGAAAATGCACTAGATGCAAAATTTTAGATTCCCCAAAGGCCATTTATTCATGGACTCTCTAGAGATCCATGAATCCTAGATTAAGAATTCGATCCAGGGACGCGTGGGTGCTTCAGTGGTTGAGTGTCTGCCTTCAGCTCAGGCTGTGACCCCCGGGTCCCGGGATCAAGACCCGCATCAGGCTCCCCACAGGGAGCCTGCTTCTCCCTCTACCTGTGTCTCTGCCTCTCTCTGTGTCTATTACGAATAAATTGATTTTTAAAAAAGAATCCAATCCGTACAAAACCAATCATTCACAACCAAACACACAAACAGAAAGGAGTCCAGAGCAAGTTCACACATGAATAACAGTTATAATTAGAAAAAGACAGTTTCGGAGCATACACAGATAGGAATCATACAGCATCCTTGGTTTACAACACGGCAGACTTAGGGAGACGGCAAAGTGAGTCTTGAAAGAAATATGTGTGCTGACCTTGAGAAGCACCTCAAGCTAAAATATGGCAACAGCCCAAATGGGTAGGACACTTTCTATTCCAACCTGCAGGACAGCTGCTTGGACCTCAGTTTCTTTTCTTAGTTAAAAATGAAAGTAGGAAAACAACCATTTTTGGAACTATGAACACAGAATAAACTAAGCAAGGCCAGATTTCATTTTTTAGGGCTCAGTCAGTTCATGGATTCCCTAAAGAGAAGTGAAATTACTCCAGTTCCTTGTCTCATGCAAGAAGGCGGGGGGGGGGGGCAGGGGGGCGGCCACGGGGAGTTTCTGTTTGTTATTTTATGTTACCTCTGCATCGTATCTGACTGCAGCAGAGAACAGTGAAAACGCATTCTCCACAGTAATTCCGCGCTTGATAATGTGCTGACAAAGCTTTCTCAGTCGGTTTTCACAGTAAGACGTGGCCAAGTCCAAAAGACCTAAAAGCGAAAAGTATGGAAGGTTTAATCAAGTTTACGCTAATTTCCCACAATTTATGAACATACATATTTCATTTTGCCAAAAAGTTATGTAGATAAATCAGAAGTTCCTTAGTGAGTAATACTCTAAAGTTTATTAAATAAATCCTTTTCACGCCTTACCTCCCCCACCCCAGAACTGACCTCCCCTACACTCACTTCATACCACTTCTTCTACAACACAGAGGGGAATAAACAGGACCCCCCGCCCCGATTTTGTTTCCAAGATGAGATGCTAAACGCATTAGCAATGTATACTTCAGTATCAACAGATTAACAGAGTCCACGACCGTAACTTGTGGCCGCAATTACTAACCATAATAATTACATAACACTATTTTTAAAGACATTTACTTCAAATACTGTCTGAAAGCCACGTAAAAACCAATAAACGACACATTTTCACACTTCAGTGCTATTAGACCATGAGAGGGATTCTGACCGCGCGGCTCGGCCCATCCCGGCGGCTGAGGTACCTATAGCATCCTCGGGCGGCAGGTCCACTGTGTCTGTGTAGAGGTACTGGAGAAAGGCACGGTACACTGGGTAAGAAAACTGGTCTATTTCTATCACCTCCTTCATATCCTCGTTCCAGTAAGACTGGAACATGGATCGAAAGTGCTCACACCTAAACAGAACACGGAAAGTTACCTCGTGCCGTATTACAGGCGTCCCTACCTACTGCTACACGGGGCCCACACGCTCCGGGATCAGGAACCCTTTGCTAGCACAGGCTTTCGCATTCACTTCTTGCATATATTCACTTGCATTTTTTTGACGAGTATCTCCCATTAAATATTAAGAATTACAGACAGAGCCTAGAAGTACCACGCGGTACACCGAATACAATTTGACAGTCCTCATTCAGATCAACCATTCTGCTCACTTGTTTTTCTTAAAAAGTGTTGTAGGGAAATGCATTTTAACAATGAAATTAACAGAAATTCAGGAATGAGAGTTCAAACCTTTGACTATATCAACATCATTTGGGGACCCCTGGGTGGCTCAGGGAGTGATCCTGGGGCCCCAGGATCGAGTCCCACATCAGGTTCCTGCATGGAGCCTGCTTCTCCCTCTGCCTGTGTCTCTGCCTCTCTGTGTGAGTCTCTCTCATGAATAAATAAAGGGAATCTTTAAAAAAAAAAAATCATTCAAATAACTTATTTGGTTTTTAATTTTCATGTAATCAGCATATTCTTAAAATGGCTTTAAATGTTAACTGGATTACATTTAGGCTGATTATTATCCCATTACCTTACATGCTAATTTTCCTTCTTTTCTGATACATCTTCAAAACAGCCATCAGGCCTATATTGTTCCTCTGCTTTGACCTGCTCCCTTTCCGATCCTCTCAAGCCTGTTACCAACTTATGTACAAAATATATTCACTAGGAGGGTCACAAATTTCAAAAAAACCTAAGCGGGTCTTTTTATGTAGTATTTGCATGTAAAAAAGCCACCTGCGGGAGGAACTGATTACTAAGGACTGAGATTTCTTAAGTGGGCAATATACTTCAGTTTTAAAAAGCCATCTTTCCAGGTCCTTTTAAAATGAGATGTGGTGTAAATAAACACAGTATTTTCAAAATCCATTCACAACTAAAAGAATGGTCCCAACTCCATAAGATATTGCTTCATCTGAATAGTAAAAAGAAATAGTTGTCTAGGCAAGGAATGAGCAATTAAAGGAAGAGACGGGCTGACCACAGGTTCACAGAAAAAAGGAACATTTCCAGTTCATCTTTTAATACATTGGTTCAGATATTTACTTTCTTAGTAATGACTGACATATATCAGTAATGACTGATACATGGCTTTTGTGTTCCCTTATGTCATGTTACTTTGTAAATAGGTTTTTATTTTTTTATTTTTTAAAGATTTTATTTATTCATTCATGAGAGACACAGAGAGAAAGACAGAGACGCAGGCAGAGAGAGACAAGTAGGCTCCATGCAGGGAGCCTGACGGGGGACTTGATCCTGGATCCCAGGATCACGTCCTGGGCCAAAGGCAGACGCTCAACCACTGAGCCACGCAGGTGCCCCATGTAAATAGGTTTTTAACTAAATCTCAAAAGGGTCTTGTAAATGGGCAGTCCAACTCTCAATGGCCTCACTTCATACGCCTCTTTCTCAGTAACGGCAGCCTCAGGGAGCAGGGGTCCAAACGACTATTAATAAACACAATCCCGTCATCTATCTAAAGAACATTCCTTTAATTAGGAATTAGACGGCCCTCGTGGTCAGAGACCCATTCTGGACCATGAGTTTTCTGGTTGGGGAAAAATGAATCTTTAAGTGTAAAACAGGACATACTCTTCATTAACAATGTTTTATATTTTTTTAAGCATGTAAATACGTTTGTCAATGGAAATAAATAGTCACAAGATCCTCATTTAAAACACAATATAGACAGGGCTCCTGGGTGGCTCAGTTAAGTGTCAGACTCCTGATTTCGGCTCAGGTCATGGTCTCAGGGTGGTGAGATCGAGCCCCCGGCATCGCCCAGCACAGAGACTGTTTGGGATTCTCTCTCCCTTTCTCCCACCCTCGGCTCGCAGCGCGCGTGCTCTCTCTCTCTCTTTCTCTCTCTCTCATTATCTAAAAAAAAAAAAAACAAAAAAAAAGAAGAAGGAAAAAGAAAAAAACCCCAACACAATATAGACAAATATTTACACTACCACATGCCTTTTCAAAAAGGCACACGAGTGCACATTCACACACATGGGCAAAACTCTTCGATAACGCACGGATCCTATTCACAAAGATATTAAGTTGTACCAATTCTCTCTACTGCCAAGGCTATTATTCCCTTTCAGTCTCCATTTTGTGGAATAACAAAAAAAAAAATGGAGAATGCAAAAAAAGAAAGAGTTATTGATATCTCTAAGCTCATGCAAAAATACCTGATTTTCAAAACAGCTTTATGCACATGGATATATTTCCCATCAATTCGAAACTTCAGATCAGCAGTTTCTGGACTATCAAATTCTTTCTTCAGTGATTCAGCAACTGTTAAAAAGTCTTCATGTTCTGAAGGCAAAAACACATTATTAATACAGAAAGCTCAGGAAACTTGCTAGAGTTATGAAAGATTTCAAAAGGATAACCATCAGCATGACGAATAATTCCATCAGATTTTTTTCAAGAATTCATGTCTTATTTGACAAATCAATTTCACTGCATCAAAATAAGTATCTTGAGTCTACAAACCACCTAAAATAAGTACTTGGAAAGGCCGATTACCAGTCTTACATACTAAGTTAGACATTTTAAAATGTCTATTTTTTAAAAGTAGAAAAAGTTATAGTAGATTATATAACTACTTACTTAAAACTTCAGTGGTTCTCTTCGAGGACCAAGAATTTATCCATTTTCCTTGACCAAAACACCAAGAATACCTTTACTCTGCTTTGGGATTGCTTCAAGGGGATGATAAACTCAACCGAAGGAATGGCAAGAAAATAAATGTACCAGTGAAGTAGCAACACTACACAGTCCTGTTCTTATACAGAGAAAACCTACATCCTAGGTATGTGGAAGGATACCACCTTAATCCTAAAAATAAAGGCACAAACACTAATGCCTACGTGCTATCTAAAACCAGAGCAAATTTACCCAGTAACAACGTATACACAAAGGGAACAGTTTTACAAAAACATGATCACACAGCCTGATAAGAACCGCTGGTACGACTATACGTAAGTAGAACTGCGTCCTTAGGAAGAAAGGTGAAGGCACTTGAACAAATTACATAACACCTTCCTGCGCCGTATATGCACGAGCAAAGGAAAACAAGTAGAAGGCTAACAGGGAAACAAAAAAGATCACTGAGATCACTAGCGATGAACACAGGTGCTGTGAATAGAGGCGACAGGTGTGGACCGCCCGCAAGACGAGAATGGGGCTGTGTCTCAGCAGCCTGCTGCTCTTGGAGGAGCGACATCTGCTAAAACTGAGGCTGAAACTTAGCAAATAAGCTTATCTGTGAGCTTTATTTTTTTAAATATTTTATTTATTTGATATATATATATAGAGAGAGAAAGAGACAGAGACAGAACAGAGAGCATGACTGGAGACAAGAGGGAGAAGCAGAGCAGAGCCCAAGGCGGGGCTCCATCCCTGGACCCGGGGACCATGACCCGACCTGAAGGCAGCCGCTTAATCAGCTGAGCCCCCCAGGCGCCTCCCTCTCCAGGAGCTTTATCATCAGAATCTCAATGTTACCCAGGGCAATTTACACGTTCAATGCAATCCCTATCAAAATACCATGGACTTTCTTCAGAGACTTAGAACAAATTATTTTAAGATTTGTGTGGAATCAGAAAAGACCCCGAACAGCCAGGGGAATTTTAAAAAAGAAAACCATAGCTGGGGGCATCACAATGCCAGATTTCAGGTTGTACTACAAAGCTGTGTTCATCAAGACAGTGTGGTACTGGCACAAAAACAGACACATAGACCAATGGAACAGAACAGAGAACCCAGAATTGGACCCTCAACTTTATGCTCAACTAATATACGATAAAGGAGGAAAGATGATCCACTGGAAGAAAGACAGTCTCTTCAATAAATGGTGCTGGGAAAATTGGACATCCACATGCAGAAGAATGAAACTGGACCACTCTCTTGCACCATACACAAAGATAAACTCAAAATAGATGAAAGATCTAAATGTGAGACAAGATTCCATCAAAATCCCAGAGGAGAACTCAGGCAACACCCTTTTTGAACTTGGCCACAGTAACCGGAGAAGGACAAACAGTGTATGTTCTCATTCATTTGGGGAATATGAATAATAGTGAAAGGGAATATAAGGGAAGGGAGAAGAAATGTGTGAGAAATATCAGAAAGGGAGACAGAACATAAAGACTTCTAACTCTGGGAAATGAACTAGGGGTGGTGGAGGGGGAGGAGGGCGGGGGGTGGGGGTGACTGGGTGACGGGCACTGAGAGGGGCACTTGACAGGATGAGCACTGGGTGTTATTCTGTATGTTGGTAAATTGAACACCAATAAAAATTAATTTATTAAAAAAAAAAAAAAAAAGAATCTCACAAGGAAATGGCATTTGCCCATGCCCTCCCCTGAGCTCCCAGAATGAGAGCTCTCCTAACTGGGGAAAGTGGACAATCTCTCAAAAATCAGGTTTTCCCTGACCCTGTAACCTGGATCCCTGGCAAATAAAAGAAAGGAAATGACTAAGATGGCAAGGAGCCCAGAGATCTAAATTTCTACCCCACCCATACACAAAATAGATTCCTATCAGTGCCCCCACTTCTGCATCAGTCCTAAGGGTTGAAATAACCCTTTTCCCCCTTTTGGTTCCGGGAAAGAACTACAATAACTCCTTTCAGAGAAGTCTTCCTATGAGGTATTTCCTCACCATCTGACTTTTTTTCTAACACTCAGTTGAGATGGTAAACTGAGAGGAAAAAAACTCTTCTGACTTTTAGTGGGTAGATGGGAAAGAAATCACCTGGGAGATACTAAATGATCTTATCTTTTCCAAACAGTATTTAAAAATGTTACACCTTTTCTTCTGAAAAGGATGTCTTAAAAAAAAAGGATGTCTTTTCAGGATTAGGATTTTTGAGAGGTAAGTACCTAGAGAAGCCTTTCATAAACAGGTTAAGAAGCACACCGGAATATGAAGATGTACGCAGTGTGTGGCTGGACCTGCCATACGTGCGTGTGATTATGCTCAAATGGTCCCATTCTGTTAACTATTCTTTTTTCAAATCACAACATTCACTGCAAAAAAAAAGATATTGTAAAAAATATATATATTGTAGGCACAACGGAGGGGCTCAGTTAAGTGTCTGACTTGATTTTGGCTCAGAGCCCCGTGTCGGCTCCATGCTGGGTGTGGAGCCTGCTTGATTCTCTATCTCCCTCTGCCCTTCCTCACCCTCCACACACTCTCCTTAAAAAAAAAGAAAAAAAAAAGTATATATTGTATTACAGAGAACCTGGAAATGTTCTATTTATTTCACTTTAAATTAAGCAGCAGTTTAACTCTTCGTAAACACAGTTGCCCCCATGACCGTAAAGACTGGTCACCTGATGATGACTGCCACTGCCAGCTGTAGGACACGCCTGAGCATGACATGTATTACAAGGCTGGCCTTCACTATCAATTGCTAAAGCAATCCAAACCCTACTGTTGACAAGAGCTACTCATTTTCAAGCACAGGCCATCATGACCCACTTATTCCCTCTGCATATAAAGAACAACATAGAAGAAAAGCATCAGCAAAAATGGCAGAAATGTACAAGAAATTAAAGAGTTTAAACTCCCCTTGTTGATGGCTACTCAGCTTTATGACACCTCACCATTTTCCATCAATGAACTCTTGAAAATGACAAAATTCAGAAAAGGGACAGATCTATATAACCAAAGATCATCCTAAATTATACTACCCTAATACCTTGGTTTTTATGCCCTTCTGACATAAAAGTACTTGAGATTGGTTGAAAGAAAAGGAGAGAAGAAAGTGGAATTAACATGCCGTCCTAAAAATCACAAGTTTTCATTTTTTACCGTTCGTTTTTGGTGCATATTGAATTACATAATAAATTTAGTATAACAAGAACACTTAAAAACAGGTTACTCAAAAAAAAAAAAAGGCTACTCAAACAAATATTTGGACACAAATACTATAACAGCAGTATTCATAGCAGTCAAAGGTGGAAACCATCCATCAAATGTTATCCATAGATGCATGGATAAATAAAATGTGGTCTATACATAAAACACACTTTCATTCAGCCATAAAAAATTAAGTACTGATATATACAACACGGATAGGCCTCAAAAACATTAAGTAAAAGCAGCTAGACCCAAAAGGTCACACATTGTATGGTTCCATTTATAGAAAATACCCAGATCACGTAAATCCCTAGAAACTAAAACCAAATATGTGATGGCCAAGGATGGGGAAAGGGAGAATGAGGAGCAACGGCACAACAGGTACAGGGCGATGAAAATGTTTTAGAACTGGATATAAATGGTGTTTGCACAACACTGTGAACATACTAGATGCCTCTGAATTGTACACTTTCAATGGTTAACTTTATGGATGTAAATCTCACCTCAATTAAAATGAAAGCACTAAAGGGGAGAAAATAAGAAGTCCTATAACATTTTATAACATACGAATACATTGTATTATGCAAATCTAATTTGAGGAAAGGAATTAAAGCTTTTGGAGAATAAAACATTCTAGAACCTGAAGGAGCCCACAACCAGCAAACACAGAAGCACTGGCCAGTCGCTAGTACCGCTCTTTTCCTGGGTGGAAGCAGCCCTGGGCTTTCTTACCTACAGACAGGAGGCGCCACGAGACGGCAGGCGTGGCGAAGCAGGCGAACACGTCGTCGGTGCAGGAGAAGTGGGTGAGGTGAGGCAGGACCACCGACTGGCCCCGGCACTGGCCCCACATGTACACGTGCCCGCCCTGGGTCTTGGCCGCCGACGTGTGCGCCGAGTGGCAGGCCGCGATCTCTACCACCCTGGAAAATTTTAAGGAAAATGTATGTCATTTATTTATCAGAGACGCCTACAGCACACAGCAGAAGATAGAAGATAGAGGTCATGCTTACAGCACTGCACACAACAGCCCCTGACAGGGACATCAGCTGTCAAATCAGGCATGAGGACAAAACCAGAAGATCCCAGCAAGAGTACCGTGGTCTCCCCTGGCTTGCTGCTCCACTCCTCGTCCTAACCTCATTCCCAAGGTTACCAACTAACACAAACCGTTGAGGAAAACTTGGAAGAAGGGACTAGAAACCAAAGTAGGTGAGGAAAGTGGACGAGGCAAAATGTCCCGATAGTTCCCGGGGCTTAGCCAGTGGCAAGAAAAAAAAAAAAAAAAAAAAAAAAAAAGTACCTTCAATATATTATTTATTTAATATGACTTTTTCTCTCACCCCTTAAATAAGCACTGTCCTTGGGATAATGGACTCTGAACTCCTAATCCAAACGGACACCACGCCAGACACATTTCTCAATATGCTTCTTAGGCACGGTTCCACAATCAGAAGTCAAGCCTCTAAAACTTAGTGGCCAAAAACTCACGATTTGGCTGAACAAAGCATTTATTCCGGCAACACACATTAAATCAAATCAATATTTAAATTGATATTGTCCTTTTAAGAGATTTTATTTCTTCAAAAGCTATTTTAGTTGGCTCAAAGGGAAAGTCTGTACTACAGTCTGAATTTCTACATGGTGATAGACCCTACTTTGCTTCCCTACTAGACGGGTCACAAGAAGTAAGAATTATACCAGGATGCATTAATGCCCACCAATCACAGATGGTTATTTTTGAAAGCTGCACAAGAATCATACCAAGTTCATGTTCCTTCTGGCTGCGACTCAAACTCTTGTTCAAAATAACAATGTTAATAAAAAGAAGAGTTACAAAAAAAAAAAAAAAAGAAGAAGAAGAGTTACAAAGCCAAACCCCATAGCTTCAGCACACACAGTCCCAAGTCCAAAACCACACATATAATCCCGAGACACGGTACAGCCCAGTTACCTTTCTTTCTCCACCATGATGTGTGCCGGGCTTAGCAGGTTATTTTTATTGCCAGTTCCCAGCTGCCCATACGTGTTAGCTCCCCAGGCATAGAGCAAGCCCTCATCTGTTAGTGCTAGAGTGTGTGCATAGCCGCAGACAATCTGCAAGTAAATTTAAATGGTCACCGTAAATAGGAAAACAGGAAGGGCGGGGAAACATCTACCTAAAGGTCACAGCCAGCTTCTGCAGAATGCCAATTCATCATCACGTATGGACTGACATTCTCTGGAACATTAAAGAAGCATTAGAAAAGCCTAAGACTGAGACCACTAGATTTTTCCAATTGCTTTTTTTTAACTCGTCAAGACTGATGTCTCACCCCCGTGGTGTCCTTCCTCATCATGAGAATTTAGGGAAGACAGAATTTTAAATGTGGAAGATGAAAGCACACAGTATTGTCTGAAATAGATTCACTGGAGAGTAAATCTCCAACCTTCTCCAAGTCCGAGCAGGGAGCTAGACAGGGGGAGGCACGGCAGAGCCCAGCACACGTACCTGGTTCACACACACGCTGTGCAAAGCTGCCACTCTCACAGGGGTCAGCTGATTGCCATTGTTTCCCAAGCCTAGCTGACCATTGCCATTGTAACCCCAGCCATAGACCTTAGAGAGAAAGGGAGAGAACAGGCTTTTAATTTTAAAACTGGTAGTAAAAATAATAATAATAAAACTGGTAGTAAGAGGGACGATGATATAACATGCAGTCCATCTAGACAAATCAAGTACTTTTCCATTTCCAACACCCAAATCTACTCTATGTGATCCTAGAAGGGATCTCCAAACAGAAGGGAACTGGGGGGCAGGCAGGGGGGGCGCAGATAATGGAATTTGGCATGAGCTCCTACACCCATAACTTACTGTTTGGATAGCCTTGGGGCAAGTCATTTATTCTCATTTTATAAATGAGGAAGCTGATGCTCATTAACAATTATTAAGCACCTTTTATAGGCCAGGGCAGGATAAAAGGTACTAGGGACCCATTTTTGGTTGCAGTTTAACAGGAGAGATGGACACAGGCCAACTCTTTGTAGCCAGGTGGCGAGCGCTAGCCTGGAGATGCCATCAAGGCACTATGAGAGCAGAGAAGGGACAGGAGTTAGCTACAGGAGGTAAGTCGAGGACAGATTTTCAGAAAGCAGGTCTGAACAGGGCTGAAGGATAACTGGAACTGAAGGTGCCCCAGGGAGAAGACACAGAATGTGCTGGAGGCAGACTCCAAAAACAAGCAGGTGGGGCTGGCAGGACACCTCCAGCAGAGCAGCAGGGCAAAGCACTACGAGGGGAAGGGAAGGCCAAGGGGATCAAGGGCCAAAACACGTAAGAGGGCCAGGAGAAGGCATCGAAGGGTCTTCCGCTGAAACATTCCAAAACCAAGATTAATATTGGAACATCTTGGAAAGATCATGCCGGCTGCACATAAGGTGCCTGGACCACGTGAGGCCAGAGACAGGACGGCCCTTCAGAAGATAAACGTGTCTGTCCTTAGCACACGGGTGAGCTCTGCCGAGGCGGTGACAGTGGGACGGGAGAGAACAGACGGGAAAGAGGGTCCAAAGAAGACACAACAGAACGTGGTGACCCCTTAGAAATCTGGCAAAGGGAGGCAACAGCTGGAGGAAGCAGAGCTGGACGGAGGTCAGCCAGCAGCGGCGAGGGCTAGAAGAGCAAGCGTGGGACGCAGGACCAAGCACCGACCAGGAACAGAGTAAAGGTCTGGTCAAACGAGAAACCTGAAATGTGGGGCTGCACCTCGGCGATGCGGGCAAACAGATGGGGCTTTTCAGGGCCAAGGGACAGAAGGGGAAGGGGGACCGAGGACCTAAGGTACTAGCAAGAGGCGGTTAAAAGCACTTTCCACATCATAAGAGCAACAGGTTTTAAATTTCCGCAGAGAAATCTGGCCACAGCCATCAAAGGTCTTAATGGCATAGCCCTGACCCAGAAATCTCATTCCTGTGAACTTTTTCAATAGAATACTTACGTAAGTGTGCAAAGATACACAGGAGCTCAGAAAGTCAGTGCTACAAGCTTTATAAAAGCAAAAATTTAGGAACAATTGAGATTTCCATTAGCAGAGCTCTGGGTGGGGGTGATCCACACACAGAAAACTAAGCAGCCATGATAATGGAAAGCAGCTCCAAACGGTCTGATAATAGGGGTAATCATCTGTGTTGTCAGCAGAAGCTTGCAGAATGGCAGAGAAAACAAATACCCATGACAATCCCATTTTTTTATACCAGACACCTGTATTCACCCATATAGAGCTGCTTATAGAGAAGAGGATATTCATTAACCTATTACTAAGACTGGAAAAAAGGTACTTTTTACTTTCCATGTTTCATTTCCTTTGTGACAATAACCACATAATTATAATTTTGAAATTAAATTCATTTTTAAAAAATAAAGGAATAGTGAAAGAATACTGGGTTGGAGGATGTCCAATGACTATCCCAAGAAATTCTGAAATCATCCAAGATGACATCAAGATTGATTCAAAATTTTTTTTTTTTATGATAGTCACAGAGAGAGGGGGGGGGGGGCAGAGACACAGGCAGAGGGAGAAGCAGGCTCCATGCACCGGGAGCCCGACGTGGGATTCGATCCCGGGTCTCCAGGATCGCGCCCTGGGCCAAAGGCAGGCGCCAAACCGCTGCGCCACCCAGGGATCCCAAGATTGATTCAAAAAATAAGTTAACACATCTGGTGAACATGGCATGAGAGAGACCTGTCAAATCACTATGTTGTACGCCTGAAACTAATGTAAAAGTGTGCATCGACTCTACTTCAATAAAAAAAGAAAACAAAAACAAGCTCATATAGAGAGAACAGATTGGTGGGGGCTGGGAGGCGGGGGCAAAATGGGTGAAGGGTGTCAAAAGGTACAAACTTTAGTTATAAAATAAGTCATGGGGCTATAACGTACAGCATGATGACTCTAGGTTATAACACTGTATCGCACACCCAAAAGTTACCGAGAGAATGATCTTAAAAGTTCTCATCACAAGATAAAAACCGTGTGGGGACAGATATTAACTAGACTTAGGTGGTAATCATCTTCACCTATATGCAAATATTGAATCGTTATGTTGTACACCTGAAACCAATATAATTTATGCCAATTATACCTCGATAAAAATAATTTTAAAAAAGAAGTTAACATAGGGGAGTATTCAGAAAACTCTCAAGCACGCTAGCACCGCAATGCATAATCCCTACATCTATATCCACAGACCTGTCTTGGTGGGGTGCTGGGCGGCTCAGTCAGTTAAGCATCTGCCCTCATATCAGGTCATGATCTCGGGGTCCTAGGATCGAGCCCCAGGTCCTCTTGGCTCCCTGTGCAGAGGGAAGTCCGCCTCTCCCTCTCCCCCTGGCTAATGCTCTCCTGCATGCGCTTGCTCTCTCGTGCGTTCTCTCTCAAATGAATAAAATCTTTAAAAAAAAAATCACTTCAAAGACATTTATCTTTGTATAATTTTGCTTCACTAAGACATTCACAGATTCACAGGTCCGTGCAAGTAAAAGTTACAACCAGAATAATTGTATAGAAATAACCATCAGCTCAAAGGGAACCATGGTAAAGAACCACCAAAAGCTGACTTTTTTAAAAGTAACCAACAACAATTAGGACAAAAAAAATTCTGCTTTTGCAAGTTGCTTCCTCCTGTGAGCAAACATTCCAGATGCAGGCCCCCTGGAGTCAGTCACTGCTTACAAACATCAGCTAACTTTAAATAGCGCACACTTGATTGTTTTCATTGGATGAAAAAGGTAGTATCAAACTCTTCATTACATTAAATCACAAACACCTATGGACATTAGACTATTTGGATCTCACGAAAAAATAAAATTTAGACATATTAGTAACCTTACTTGCAGATAAATCTTGGAATTTAAAAATTCATACGGAGGCGCAAACACCCTCTAGATACTCTTCAATAACTAACCAGCCAACTATCAAGGAAACTATCAAAACAAAGCACTTTCCCTTCCATGATCTCATACATGCTCCTCATGGAGAAAATGATGTTTCACTGAGAGAGGAGGTGAGGGCAGGGGTGGGGGCAGAGCACAGAGACAGCTCACCTCACCATTGTCCAGAACAGCCATGGATGAGGTCTGACCACAAGCAATGCCAACCACCCTCTTAATATGTAAACAGTTTGTGACTTTTCGAGGAGTTGGTTGATTCGTTGTAGATCCTGATCCCACCTGGCCACAGTTGTTATAGCCCCAAGCAAATACCTACACAAAACAAGGGGGAAAAAATTACTAGTAACAGGGTGAAAATTCTAGCTCTAACACATATTAATAACCATAAAATAAAAATAAATCCACTTAATGAATATTTACAATGTGCTACATGGCTCTAAATGCTTTCCGGGCATTAACTTCTTTAATTCTCACAGTAATCCTATAAGGTGACCCTGGGTAGGTACTCTTTTCACCAGCATTTTATATATGGAAATGGAAACAGAGAGGTTGGGTGACCTTACCTGAGGTTCCACACCAGTAAGTAGTAAATGTGGAATGTGAACCCAAGAAGTCAGCTGTGCTCTTAACCACTGTGCTGTCCTGCCTCTGTAATTCTGACAGAGGTGATTTTTCAATCTGGCATCAATAGGAAATAAGGCATACACTACCTAAGTAGCAGTGATATTTAACATCTGCTTAACTCCTTGGGCACAGACATACTTTTCTTTGCCTTCATGGAAAGCATTCAGAACCCTACAGTGCCCTTCCCTGCCACGCTAACCACCAATACTGAACATTACGTAAGCTTTCCCGGTGACTGCCAGCCATCATGATTGTTATTACCAATCACAGTTACACGGTAAGGCTCCCAAGTACCAGAGGGATGTCTGTCCCTACAGAAACGACACCAGGTTGTTAGGTACTGTTTTCTCGGGGTTCTCATTTGCTGCCTTCCCTCCAAGCAGCCCCCTCCTCAAACGCATCCTGCATACGCCTGGCCTGTGACTTGCCACAATGTGAAAACCAGATTTCTAACAAGACACATGTAGACCTCTAAACTAGTTAAGATCTAGTAAGAAAGATGAAAAACAAAACAAAAAATCACTTCAAGTTAATTACCAACTAAGCCTATCAGACAAGAGTGTGACCAGAGAGAAGAATTAGAAGGGGTGGGGGGGGGGGGTGACAGCCCGGGAAGGAAGCTCCTCCCAAACTAGGAGAATTTCTAAGGGCCCCGCCCCTCTCCCGTGCCCCACGAGGTTGTCCTCACATATCCTGAGGTCTGGCTTCCACAATTCTTTCCTCTGTCAGCACTTCCTAGCTAAGCTCACGTGTCTGACGCTGCCTGAGACAACGACAGTAAAACCTATGGCTCGTGCCTTCACAGAACATGCACTATAGGTTCACTTCATGGGTACAAAAGAACCCGCAAAACTTCCTGAAACTGGATTCCCAGGAGTATCTAGGATAATAATGCAAATCTTTAGCACAATTATCCAAAGTAGCATATGCTGGGACGCCTGGGGGGCTCAGCAGTTGAGCGTCCGCCTTCGGCCCAGGACGTGACCCCGAGGTCCTGGGATCGAGTCCCACATCAGGCTCCCTGCATGGAGCCTGCTTCTCCCCTTGCCTGTGTCTCTGCCTCTCTCTGTGTTTCTCATGAGCAAATAAATAAAAATCTTAAAAAAAAAAAAAAAAGCATGTGCTTACAGTTAAAATAAACCAGGAATCCACGCTGCACAGAGGAGGGAATTCTAACTTTAACAATCATCCTTCAGGCACTTCTCAAGTATCCCAAGCTCCCTTGCAATGTAGCTGCCTTTTATTTAAAAACAGGGACCGGGTTCCACCAACCAAAGGCAGACTAGCCAACTGTGGATTCAAGGTGTAAGATCTGGGTGCTACGCCTAGTTCCAGCACATCTCACCCATGAAACCTTGCTCTCCCTCAGCTGCTCTGGTTTCCTCACCCATAACCTGCCCTACATAATAAAATCACTGTTAACACCACTGAGGGATTTTAAACAGGAGAACAATACGATCTGTGTTTTAGAAATCACAGGAGTAGGGGAGTGGGGGGGCCTGGGTGGTGTTGGCAGTTGGGCGCCCCACTCTTGGTTTTAGCTTAGGTTGTGATCTCGGGGTCGTGAGATTGAGCCCTGCACTGGGCTCCTTGCTCAGCACGGAGTCTGCTTGAGATTCTCTCTCCTGCTCCCTCTGCCCCTCCTGCTCATGCTCTTTCTAAAATAAATAAGTAAATCTTAAAAAAAAAAAAGTCACAGGGGGCAGGGAGGTAAAACTTAACAGGTAGACAAATTAAAAAGCTATAGAATAAAAGAGATCATGGCAATAACCCAGGCAGATAACCCAAGGTCTGACCTAAGGTTACAGAGATGAAGAGAAATAAAATGAGACAAAAGATTAGAAGGTAGAGTCAGAGGAGCCACCTTTAAGATAAGCAGGAACTTGGGGGTGAGTAAGTGGCACAGCACCTACTGGAATGTTGGCAAAGTTATTTTCTATGACATCATTACATTTACCAAAAAGCAAAACAGACCTTAACGGATGGGGTAGTTTAAAAGAATTAAAGTACAGAACTTGGTCAACGCATCTGATTTATAGTCTTAGCAATAAGAGCAGGAGACTCAACTCCTTAAGGCTGAAGTCTACTAGCATCAAAAGAGCAGTCGTGATCACATAGGTTACCTTAGAAAAAGAGTTATGTTCCCAGTGATTTTAGTTGTGTGCACAGGGCTACTAAGTTTCCACTATACCAAATATAAATATGGTCGTTATTTTATTTTTAAAAGGCACTTTCACAGTAGTCAAAAGTGCTAACAACCCAAATACCCTTCAACAGATAAATGGATAAATACGGCATATACGCACAATGGAATATTATTCGGCCTTAGAAAGGGGGGAAATTCTGACACCTGCTCCAACATGGATGAACCCTGACAACATTATGCTCAGTGAAACAAGGCAGTCAGTCCTACAGGATAAGCACTGCACGATTCCACTCATAGGAGGTACCTAGAGTAGTCAAACTCAAGGAGACAGAATGGTGGTCACCAGGGGCTGGGAGGAGGATGGAGAGTTATTGTTTAGTAAATATAGATTCAGCTTTGCAAGATAAGAAGACTTCTGGCAGATGGATGGTGATGATGGTTGGGTAACAATGTAAATATACTTTAATGTCACTCAACTGACATTCAATAAATCACATGGGTATAAAAATATGTAAGTTTATGTTAAACATATAAAATTTGCCATCCTAACCATTTTAAGCGGTTAAAGAGACCACGGCAATGGTCCAGGCATGTGATAAAATGGTTGCAGGAAGTGGTTTTCACACATCCTGAGGTCTGGCTTCAACAATTCTTAAAAATGACTAGGATGGCAATTTTGTATTATGTGTATCTTACCACAGTTTGAAAATAAAGAATAAAAGCAGGGCACTTACCTCTCCATCAGCTGCCAGAGCCATTGAATGATGTGAGCCACAAGCTACTTCAACCACTTGCTTGATCAAGAGATTGGTACAGACTTGGATGGGAGCAATGCCTTGGTTGGTGGTCCCATTCCCAAGCTGGCTATATCCATTGTGGCCCCAGGCATAAACGACTCCATCTATATAAGACGGCCACACACAAAGAATCATTTCTTTCCTGGACTTCGCACAACTTACTCTCCAACCTTATCTTCTAGGTTAATGACAAGTCTTTTCTTGAATGATTTTACATCTGTCTACCTTGTTCTCTCATCTGTACCTCACCTCTTTTCCTTACCCTTCATCAATGGTTACTTTGTAGGGAAGAGGAGGCAACGTAAAAGAAATTAAGATTGGAGAATCTTTTGGTAATCAAAAATTTAAATGTGACAAATAAAACTATACAAGAATTAGAAGGGAAAAAACTAGTGCATGCCTCCGTAACCTGAGAATAGGGAAGACTTTCCTATGACTCAACATCCAGAAGCAATAAAAGGAGTGATAAATCTATTCACACTTAAGACTTTACACGGAAAAAAAAAAAAAAAAAAAAAAAAAAAAAAAAAAAACCACGGGCAAAGAAAAAATTAAATATTAGAAAAAATACTAATAATTTCTATTACTAAGAGATAATACCTCTAATGTAAAAAGAGCTTCTACAAATACACAAGACAAAGACCAAGAACCTCTCAGAAATATGAAGTGATGGTTCACAGGGAAAGAAATGTAAATGACTCTTAACCATATGAAGAGATGCTCACCCTCTTAAGAAGAAAAATGCAAATTCAGAAGATGGGACTCCTACTCAGCAAGGCTACCACCTAGCCACTACCGGTGCCAGAAGCCCCCCATGTCAGAAACAAAGACCAGTGCAGAGTCCCTGATACAGCATCACCCTTTTAAAGAGACCAACTAGGTATCTGGTAGTAAGTGGACTCTAACGGACCCTTTCCATCCTGGAAGGAGCTGCCACGCATACTAACAGAAATCAACATATAATCGGGGTACATGTCTCCTGCCCACAAGGACTCAGCACAACTCTATGGGGACTTACAGAGTATTTAATCCACAGAGTATCTGATCCCACAAAACATCTCATCAGACCAAGGCACCCACTTTTAGCAAAAGAGGTACAGTAGTGTTCACATGGCCACGGGGCTCCTGGTCCTACCTCATGTACTGCAGCATGCACAAGGTGCCAGCTGGACACAGCGATGACAAGCTGGCTGAAGGCACAGCTGAGACATCAGCCTGGAGATGAGACCATGTGAAGATGGGATGCTAAGCCCCAAGGTACAGATTCGAAATCAGTGACCACTGTATGGTGCTGTTTCCCTAACAGGTACAATACATGGGTCCAGGAACCAAAGTGAATTATGTGAGTGACCCTACTGAGTAACCATCACCCCCAGGGACCAACTTGGGGAATCTGTGCATCCTGTCCTTGAAATGACAGGTTCTGTAGGTTCAGAAGTCCTGGTTCCCTAAGCAGACACACTTCCACAAAGGGATATGGAAAGAATTCCACTGAACTTGAAGTGACGGCTGCCACAGGCACTCTGTGTTCCTCTAGGCAAAGGACCAACGGGGAAAAAAAAAGAAGGCCCCCCCACCCCCAGCAGGGGCAACTGACCCAGTCAGCAGGAAGGACAGCTACTATGTAATGGGAACAAGAGAGAAATGTGCTTGGCAAGGACGTGAAATTTGGTACTTTCGGTGCACACTTGCCCAACGCTGGTGGTAAACTGAAACATACAGTAGCCACAGCCAGAGTATAGCACGGTTAGGGGCTCGTATACCTCACGGATGAGCATCTGGGTCACACAGTCAGGTCAGCCCCCTGGGCCAGACGCTAGCCAAACGTAAAGGGACTCTAGAAGGAGAGCTAGAGGATGGAGGCAATGAGTATCAGTTGTGGCCATGAGACTGGCTGCAGCAGAGAGGCTGTAATTCATCCCACCAACAGTCTTCTTGTTTTTCCTAGGAAAAGAGGCCCTCTAGAATCTGGAGGAGCTGTTCCCAAAACTCATCAGAAGACATGGATCTGAGCAGTACATGGGACAGAATGGATGAAAGCTGTGCTGTGTCACTCAGATGCCCCTCAGGATTAAGGACCTCATTCCTGGGCAGCCCGGGTGGCTCAGCGGTTGAGCATCTGCCTTCAGCTCAGGGCGAGATCCTGGAGTCCCAGGATCAGGTCCCACATCGGGCTCCCTACATGGAGCCTGCTTCTCCCTCTGCCTATGTCTCTGCCTCTCTCTCTCTCTCCATGTCTCTCATGAATAAATAAAATCTTTTTTTTTTTTTTTTTTTAAAAAGGACCTTATTCTCCAGATGCTAGACTGCTACCAGCTGCCTGTTCTCAGCCATTGGTCCTCTCCAGATTTGCCCTTAGCAATCACCTTCTTGCTTATACATTATTTTACTATTTTAAAATAGTATATATACTTATCTCTTCCCTTTATACGTGATTAAGCATAGGAAAAATGAGTTTCATGAGATGGTCTCCATTCCCCAGGAAGCTTTCAAAGCAGCCCCATCCAACGGGGCACCAGCATCTATTTTCCCAGCCCTGCTCTTGCCACACAGTCTCTGACAGATTAAAGGGCAAGTTTCAGGATCACGTGAGGGTCTGGCAAAATCACCAAAGGATGGAACAGTGCAACCATACGCGGCTAGAAGGGAATGTGGGGAGTGGGGGTGAGAAGGGCACGGGACAGGGAGAGCACAGAGGGGGAAAGAAGCATCCCATGAAGTTCTGACCTTCAAGGACACTTGGCCTCCAGAGACCGGATGCTGAGTCGGAGAAGTGGTCAGAAACAGGTAACTTTATAAGTACCCTAATTTAATGTTGATTCAGAAGACAAAAAAGAATTCTACAAGCCCTAAGTCTACATGGAAAATGATAAAACTAAATGAATATTGATCTTCAGAGTAGTCACCAGATGGGACTAATTTTTTTTTTTTTTAAAGAAAGGCGAACTGCCACATGTAATGCTTTATTTGGATGTGTCTAAGGTCTTGGAAGCTTGACTACCCTATGTTCTCCTACAAATGGACTTTGAGAGCTTGTCTGGAGGTTCTAGCAGGGGAGCGCACCTACTCGTACACCCCTGACGATTCGGGGAGGGTGGGGAAGGTCATCCTCTCTGAGCACGCAGCATCGGGAGGGATGCACATGGAGCGGTGAGGGAGGAAGGGGACACCCACCACTCAGTGAGAGTAGCTTTATCAACCCTAGCGATCAACAGGGTGACAGATGTGGCAACCAGATCACTCTCACATCCTAGATTCCAATTTAATAATGTAGCACTGATCAAAACATTCCTAAAATGCACACAGGTTAGTGAAGCATGAAGAATTGAACACATTTTTAATCTATATTCTTTCCCCAAAAACCTACTGAAATATAGTGAAGGGAACAACTTTCTTCAAAAAAGGCACAAACACTCAAGGACAAAAAGGACAATAAAGAAGAAAATAACAATAGCAGGGATGTGAACAAAATTTTGGAAGATGGAAGGCAGACGGATGTGGTAAGTTAACACGGCCAACCAGAGAAGGGAACATCCACGTCTGCAAAAGGAGAAGCCAATTACAACCTGGAATCTCAGGGAGGCCCAGGGATCGGGAGGGCCCGGCCACCACAGGAGATGTAAAGGCTGGTGAATCTAAAAACAGGAGCAGTTAAACCCCAAATCCTCATCCTCTTCCTGTGGGGTCAGGCAACTACCCCTTCCCAATGCTGGAATAAGACAAAAGACCTACAGCATTTAATTGCTGTGAATTTCTTACTGCGAAACAATTTCTCACTTTGTCCAAACTTCCTTCCCTCCTTTCTCCTACATAACACAACAAAGAAAATGAGTTAGGAAAATAATCTAGAGAGGCCCTGAAGGCCTCCATTATCCATGGAGTACGGCAATATTCTAGAAATGAAGAAATTTTCAGACTGAAGAGTCAACAGAATGATGAATACATAAAAATTATCCATACCAGAGTACATACTCATGATTTTTTCAGAAAATGGGGAACAAAGAAAAGATCCTTAAAGCTTCCAAAGAGGAAAAAAACAGTCATATGCAAAAATAACAGAAATCGCAATGGCATGAGAATCTCAATAGTAACCCTGAAACTTGAGAGGTGCGATGACTTTAAAGTTCTGAGGAAATAGGATTTTCAATCAGGAATTTGATTAAGTCCAGCCAAACCACTGAACAACTGTATGTGTAAAATGAAGACATTTTAAGAGAATGTCTCAAAGATTTCTCTCACACTCCTTTCCTTGGGAAGCTACTAGAGAATGTGTTTTCACCTAAATAAGGGTATAATCCAAGGAGGAAGACACAGGGCACAAGAAATAGGGGATCCAGGGGCACCAGGGTGGCTCAGTTTGTTAAGCATCTGCCTTCAGCTATGGTCATGATCCCGGGGTCCTGGGATGGAGCCTTGCATCTTCCGGCTCCCTGCTCAGTGGGGAGTCTGCCCCTTTCCTCCTCATGCTCTCTCTCTCAAATAAATCTCTAAAAAAATAAAAAATAAAAATAGAGGATCCAGAAAGGACAAAGGTGAGGGGGTAAATGAAGTTCTGGGCTGAGAGCTAGGTGGCAGGCCGACAGTGACCAGTATCAGTTAGAACGTGGGGACATAGGGCTCCAGAGACAACTAGGTGATCTCAGATGTGCTGAGACACAATACTGCTCTATGGACAAGTGTGGGCATAACGACAGAACTATAGAAAAATAAGTGAATGAACCCCAGGAAAACAAACAGCTGTACAGAAAGGTGATGGCTCAGCTATAAATCACACAGAGTCCTAATGATGTAAATACTAAATATCGATTTAACCGAACAGGTGATACTGCTATAGTGAAAGGATCGGGGGAGGAAAAGAAGGGGAAAAGAAAGCTAACTTCTATCTGCCATGATAAAAAGTGGAAAGATAAGATCTAAAATTGAAAATTCAGAAAAAGTAGTGTTAAGCATGTTAATTTAAAAATATGAGATTAAACATGAGAAGAAACATCTGAAGGAGTTAGAAGTGGTTCCCTTCTGAAGGGCAGTTTCTAAGACTGAGGAGGGGTGAGGCAGAGGTTCTTCTGTTTTTTACTAAAAGCCATATACTACTGATGGCTTAAAGTGTTTTAAATGCTTTCATTTGTTTTAAAACTATTTGTTATATATATAAAATATGCACAAAATACTTGTGCCATGTGTAGATCTGATACATAACACATGTTTAAAGTATATTGTATAAAATGTATAATAATCAAAATTGAATTAAAGAAAAATATCCCCACAAGAAAATCAGTTATTATATTTTTTTGTTTTATGTTTATTTGTGTTTAGATCTTAATTTTAACACTCAAGATAGTTAAGACTACATGATCTGGACTCTGGAAATAACTCCAAGAGTTATAATTTTCTAAGATCACCACGTTGAAGAAAACTAAGAATTTAAATATGTATGTTTTAGGGGTACCTAGATGGCTCAGTCCATTAAATGTCCGACTACTGATTCCGGCTCAGGTCATGACCTCAGGGTTGTGAGATCAAGCCCCACACTGGGCTCTGCATTCAGCAGAGAATCTGCTTGAGATTTTCTCTCTCCCACTCCCTCTGCCCCTCCTCAACTTGCACATGAGAGTACACACGCATTCTCTCTCTCTCAAATAATCTTTATTTTTAAAATAAATAAATAAATAAATAAATAAATAAATAAATGTCTATGTTTTAGTGTGTTTGCTCTAAAAAACCACCCCAGTGTTTTATAATCAGAAAGCAATGATCAGTTAAAACTGGTGTTTGTTAGGGAAAAAAAAAAATCAAATCATTAGATCACAAGACATGACAAGCAGAACCAGTCAGCAAAGTAGTAACTGCTTGAAAGAGCCAGTGTGATGCCAGAAAGCACGGTTACACAAAATGGAAGTGAGATCATCACATCATTATGCTCAACACCAGTTATATTCTCACTAGACATTCATGCTCAGATCTGGATCTCACAGCTTGAGAAAGAGGCAGACAGTTTGGAATAGATTCAGATTTGAGTTAAAGGCAATTAAAAAGCTCAATACTAAGACCTCTGGCAATATCCGAGGAAGCTGTGACTGCTCAGTCTGGAGAGAGAGAGAAGCAAACAGAAAGTTTCCCCAAGGAAAGCAGAGGGTCTCTGCTAGAGAGAGCGAGACTTAACATGCTTAAAATATAAAGGGAAGAATTCAGGTTATACAGAGTCCTGCTTGCCCATAGTGCAGATAAATTACCAGAGAAGAATGTTATATTCTCCTTGCTCAGTGATCTCAGGGAGGCAGAGATTAAGAGGAGAAGAATCTATCCCACATTCTTTCCAGATGGCACACACATGAATGCCAGGGACTAAACCAAGATTTCTTAGATTCAAGATTCAGGAACTACACAATGAAAGGAAAACCAGCATTATGTGTGTTTATAAGAACGTGCCAAGTAAAATCTGAAAGTTGCCTTGCTACCAGAAATCTATGGAAAAATTAGGCTGAAGGACTATTTCATTTGCTGTATCTAATCTTTAACAACTTTGCATTAGCATTCTAACGTTTGCTTAATTTGCGAGCAATGTTATGGCTGTTCCAGAATTAGCCTGAAGTGCTTAACTTTTAGTTTGGTATAGTTCCCAGAAATTAAGAAATAAACCATTCAAAATTATTTCATAAGGCCCCACCTCCCCTCAGCTCAGAATTAATGCTCGATTTCCCACAAACTGAAAAGCTGGCTTTGTTCCCTCTTTACCTTCGGTGCTGAGAAGGACATGTGGTCCACTCCCATAACTAAGGCTTTTAATCTTCTTTCCACATAAGGCTTCTAGCTTTTTGGGTACAAGTGTACTCTGATTATCTCCAGTTCCTAGACAGTTACTATAGTTCAGTCCAAATACAAAGACCTAGAAAACAAATAGTTTTGTCTCAGTCAGTTGGCCTGAAGTTACACAAAGGCCCCTTCTCCACTCTGAAAATAAGACACACTAAGTTCAGTGTGACAGCTCAGTAGGTAGGAAGAAACTGATCTGATTAAGAAAATTTAAGAAAAAAACCTCTGCTGCCATAACTTAAGTTTTAGAATATCTAACCATACTATGAAATTCAAAGAGTAGTAGAGGGTTGAGGGGTAGTAAAACTGAAGAAACTGAAAGGAGAGAGAGATTATATGAGACACAGTCTTCTTGAATTTCAGGTTCTTTTATCCCCAACCTTTTCAAAGGATAAGGAGGTAGGCCTTGTTGGATACACTTGGGATGGTGGTAGGAGAAAAGATGGGAAGGAAAGTAAGGGCCAAGGGGATAAACTGCCAAAAAACATACAAGGGAAAGTGGAATGAATGTGTCTATGGATCTTCCACTGCAATATTTCAAAACAGAGCTTGGTATGAATAAATTTGCATTCTGGGATGATCGGCTGGCCACAATCTTTTCTCAGTCTTCAAACTTCACACTCAAATTCCACTCCGCGTTTTGAGAGATTCTTACCTCATCATTGTCAGTAACGTACAAGGCTTCATTGGCTGAGGTGCCAAAGACACATGCTTTCCGAATAGATGCAATTTCTTGAGGTGAGAGCAGAGTGAAGATTGGCCACTTTCCTACATCCACCATGACTCTGGATCAAGTAATTCTTATAAATAAGCCGACATCTCTGCGGTAACAGAAAAGATCCCAAGAAAAAGAATAAAATAACCACTAAACTAACTTAAAAAAAAAAAAACGGCACTGTGAATAAAAGGAAACAAAACCTAATTCCAAAAGAAACTACCTACCTTTGGTTAAATGGATCACTCACTTTCCCCAGCAACCTGTCCAATCCTTCCTCCACCGTCAAACCTGGGTCTTTCTCTGCAATGAGAGGAACAACTTGCTAGAACCAGCTGTTTGTCTTGCCTACTTGCAAGTCAGTACTTATCTGTTACATCCATACTCATGCAACCAGACAGCAGATGATGAAAAGGCATGCTAACCGGATGAAACCACGCTCTCTCGTCAGGTATTTTTTCCTTAGGTTACTGAGATAAAGTTAAAGGTTACAGTACTAGTTGGTCTAAGACACTGTATTCTTGCTTAGGAGAGGGAGGGAGGGAGGGAGGGAGGGAGGGAGGGAGGGAGGGAGGGAGGAAGGGAGGGAGGAGGGAGTGGTGTGTGTGTGTGTGTACATGAATGTTATAAAAATCAGAATCATTACCTCTACCTCCCTGCTGTCCCACTACCACCTGCAGGATACACCCAAAGATCCCCATCCCTTGTAGAAAACAACTGCCATACCAAGCGGCTGTTTAATGATGGGAATGGGACATCCCTCATGGGAGTCTAGAATGGCAAGAATATTAAGAAGGACTAGCCTAAGATATACTGAATGAAACCATAAAAGAAAGGACTTATTCTGGTCCTAATTTCTATGACCATATTTTCTGCATATATACAGATCAAATTTCATTTCACATTGAAAAAAGTTATCAGATGAACAAGGGAAGACAATTCACCCTCATCTCAGTGTTCAAGGTCATAGGTATAGCTTCCATGCAAGGGGCAATTAGCTTAAATAGTATCCTATAAAAAGCAGACATAGGTATAAATTTCCATAAAACTCTAAACTTGACCTGTTTAAGGAATTTTATACAAAGAGCCCTGGTCATGCCTCCAATTCTTCTAGGGTTAAAAAGCATTTCTAGAAATTCCAGGGAGCTACACAGGAACAAAACCCTACCACGCCAAGTGAGTTTCCATTCTGGCTCTTACCTCTGGAAATTGAAATAGAACCAGTTTATAAATACAACCAGGATTTCCTAATGAGGTACAGAACTCCTGAAGTTCCTTCCTACTTCTCTCCTCAGACCTCTAAAAATAGCCAAGAGAGCCAGGCTCAAGACCAAGGCCTTCTGGGGTCCAGGACCTCTGAGAACACCTTGGGGCTTAGGTGTACTTAGCCAAGGCCTCAGTTTCCACCATCCAGGGAGACTTCCCATCAGCACTAACTTGGATGACAGAGAGGATGACTGCTATGCCTCAAGAATCACATCACATATTCAATAAGCATTAAACACAATCAGGACGAGCTACTCCCCATCACTCCACAGCAGACTCCTGAAACAACATTTGAATGCTCTGAGAGGTATGTATGGACAGGCGCGTGCTGGTGAGGACACACAAAGGATTTGGGGAAAGGTAAATAATACATAAACATGTTCAAAAATGTTGTACACGTGCAACTAGTACAAAGGGGTAAAGGAAAGTAAGTCTCCCTACCATCCCTCCCCAACCCTCTCCTCAAAGGCAACCACTGTGGACAGTTGTTGCTAATTCCTTCCAGAGGCAGCGTATGCTTACAAAAGCACTGGGTGTATGTGTGTGTAGAAGCCTTCTTCCCCTTAGTCGACAGCACATCTTGGAAAGCATTCTAGGTTAGTACATGTAGACGGACTTCATTTCTTTTCACTGGCACTTATTTTTTTAAAAGATTTTATTTATTTATTCATGAGACACAGAGAGAGGAAGAGACACAGGCAGAGGGAGAAGCAGGCTCCATGCAGGGAGCCTGACGTGGGACTCGATCCCCGGTCTCCAGGATCAGGCCCTGGGCCGAAGGCAGGTGCTAAACCGCTGAGCCACCCGGGCTGCCCTCACTGGTACTTTTAAATAGCATTCCACCCATCAAGTTAACAACTCATCTGCTTCTACTGAGAGACTGTTTAAGTCACTGCTAGTCTTTTCCTAATACAAACAAGCCTGCAATTATTGTCTACATATATTATTGCATATGCACGACTTTTCTGATATATACATTTATAAGATAAATTCCTAAAAATGAAGCTGCTGGGTTAAAGTCTAATTGCTATTTTATCTTTTTTTTTTTTTTAAGATTATTTATTTGAGAGAGCAAGCACACAGGAGGGGAGGGAGTCTTAAGGCACCACCCGGGCACCCCAAATTGCTATTTTACCTTTAACAGTTATCTCAAATTGTTCTCTACCGAAGTAGTGCCAGTAGATAAAATAACCACCAATGTATGGCAGCACCTGATTAGCCACATCCTTACTACACAGCGTATTTTTTTTATTTTTTTATTTATGATAGTCACATAGAGAGAGAGAGAGAGAGAGAGAGAGAGAGACAGGCAGAGGGAGAAGCAGGCTCCACGCAGGGAGCCCGATGTGGGACTCGATCCCGGGTCTCCAGGATCGCGCCCTGGGCCAAAAGCAGGCACTAAACCACTGCGCCACCCAGGAATCCCTACACAGCGTATTTCATGGTATCTTGGTTTTGTTTCAACTTGAATTTCTCTTATGATGAGTGAGGCTGGGCATCATTTAAAAAAATAATCACAATAATAGCAACAATAATAACTGATGCTTCTCGAGCAGTAGGTGCGCCAAGTACTGTTCTTGATATTTTACATCTATTAATTCATGTAATCCTCAACCTACAGACAAGGAAATAGGACCCAAAGAGATTTTAAGAATTTGCTCAAATCATAAAGTGGCTGACTCAGGGCCTGAAGCCACACATTGCGGAACCTGGAATCTGCATATGCACTCCTCACCTCTTGGCCTCATGCGTCATCCTTTTATAAAGTCCTTTTTTTCCTACTGGACTATTGTTCTTTTCTTTGCTCTTGATTTTTGTGTTCTTTATATGGTGTGATTGCCTTAAATGCTCTTAGAAATAACAAAAAAGATGCCTCCTACCCTGCACCCAAATGGCCTGCCTTGTGTCTCTTACAAAACAGGGAAGAAGTCACAAGAAAGGAATAGTATAAATGAATACAAGCAGAATGAATTCCAAATAAAAAAACAATCCTTTATTTTCCTAGGTTATGAATCACATCAATAGTCCTCAAAATTTAATATTGTATGTAATATAGAATTTTAAATAAACAGGGAAAAGGGGAGGGATTTAAGTTAGCCAAAGAAAATATGATTTGTCACATTTAAAATTACAGCACAAAGGGGGGGCGTCTGGGTGGCTCCGTAGGTTAGGCGTCTGCCTTCAGCTCAGATCATGATCTCAGGGTCCTGGAGAGCCCCTCATTGGGCTCCCCGCCCAGCGAGGAGCCTGCTTCCCTCTGCCCCCCACCTCCACCTCCCTGCCCCCACTCTGTATCATGCTGGCCCTCAAGTAAATCAAGTACTTTTAAAAAAATTACAACACAGAGGGATACTAACATTCAAACGTACACAATTTCCTGACAACAGCACAATTATTCTGTAGTCATGAATCACAGTCACACAGGCAACTACGCCCCCAAGGGTTTGGCAAGCTACTGGAAAACCAGGCTTCCATAATGATGGCTTATTATGCGAACGGAGTTTACCCATCGCTGAATTACTTGCAGCTTTATTTTAAAGACGTCTGTCCAAAGTCTTGTAAATTAAAAGTCAGCATAAAACCAGGTCACGTATCTTACAGGTCCACACCCCTCACGGGATCAGAAGCATTGCCAACAGTCTGCATGGTGGGAAAGAGAGTCCTGAGGCGCAGGCTGGCTTCTAACTAATCAGGGTGACGTGCCACCTACCTTTACGAGCCTGGGTTTCTCAAGAATCCGTCCTATAAAACTCCGTAACGTTGTGGTCAAGCTGGGATGAACGAGCTGCAGGGGATTTGAGATGGCCTGAGAACGAGGGCAGTACTGCTGCCCAGGCAAGTCATTACCCCGACAATCCCGCGAGGTGGGTAAAGACCAGGAAGGAAGACACTGACAGTGATCACGACTGCTGTGGCCCCACGGAGGCAGCCTCACACACATTATTTCATCTTCTCCATACTCCTGTGAGGAAGAAGGGCCATAATCCATTCTTCGTAGATGAGGAATGAGGCTCAGAGGTAAAGCGACTTCCCAAGGTCACAGAGCAGTGAAAAGCACAGTCCAGACTCCACCCCAAGCCCTCTGAGTCTTCTTACATCAGAGAACATCAGCCCTGGCCCCTGAGAGGTTAAACTTCTCGAATATTACTTCCTCTGACTTTATTTTGCCTAATACTGTATACCAGCATCTGTCTTTAAAATGCTTCAAATATAAAAAGTACTTCTCCCCATCCCCCAAAAAAATGTGTTCCCTCATTTGCTTCCATCTAAATTTGGCTGGTTAAACCCTGTGAATGTCACTCATTCCTTCCTCCTTCCAAAAACCACTAAGTAGCAGGCACCGGAGACCAAATGCACCTTTGTCCTCAGGGACTCCCAAGAGTGTATGAGCACAAGGTGCCTCCTTGGCTGCAGGCTGCTAAAGCACAAAGGATGCCTTCGTTAGACTCGCCCAAGCTGAGCAGCTGAGGACACGAACAGGGTATCCTCAGACCTCGGACAAGGTTCTCCGAGAGGTTCTTGTGGGCTCCCTGGGTGGCGCAGCGGTTTGGCGCCTGCCTTTGGCCCAGGGCGCGATCCTGGAGACCCGGGATCGGGTCCCACGTCAGGTTCCCGGTGCATGGAGCCTGCTTCTCCCTCTGCCTGTGTCTCTGCCTCTCTCTCTCTCTCTGTGACTATCATAAATAAATAAAAATTAAAAAAAAAAACTCAGGATGTGCTATGCGCTGTACAGATCAGATCAGATCAGTCCTGAACTCGGGCATGTGGCATATCTTGTCCTAAGGCAGCATAATGTAAATGCAAATACCATCAACATTTTCTAATTAACTCAAAATGACCACCATCATCATTACAATTACATTACTGTGGTGAGATGTTTAATTTCTCCATTTACCTGGGGGCAGCGACAGCTTTGCTAATATTTTTTTATTAAAGATTTTATTTATTTATTGATGAGAGAGAGAGAGAGAGAGAGAGAGAGAGAGAGAGAGAGAGGCAGAGACACAGGCAGAGGGAGAAGCAGGCTCCATGCACGGGAGCCTGACGTGGGACTCGATCCCGGGACTCCAGGATCAGGCCCTGGGCTGAAGGCGGCGCTAAACCGCTGGGCCACCCGGGCTGCCCAACACCTTTGCTAATATTAAGAAAATCATACTATCGGGATCCCTGGGTGGCGCAGCGGTTTGGCGCCTGCCTTCGGCCCGGGGCGCGATCCTGGAGACCCGGGATCGGGTCCCACATCAGGCTCCCGGTGCATGGAGCCTGCTTCTCCCTCTGCCTGTGTCTCTGCCCCCCTCTCTCTGTCTCTGTGTGTGACTATCATAAATAAATAAAAATTAAAAAAAAAAAGAAAAGAAAATCATACTATCAACCTATAGTCCTTCTATCAACTTTGTATGTCTGACTCTCTACCCCAAAATTATAAACGGGGTATACTACTAATCCAAAAAGCTAAAGCAGGTGGAATCACTGGAAATTAACTAGCATTTAACCTGTTATGAAATCTAGACTGAAGAACCCCTGTGGCTGACAATGAATCAGAAATAGAAGGATCACAAGAATAGTATTAGGCTCGCTCTAATGTCTTATGACATCTACTAAATTTGCCTACACATGAAGAAGTAGTAACAGATTTGTTCTAATTCTATGGATTATACTTTAAAGGAATATAAACATAGTTCAACATCATTTCATTTAAATCATCACTCCAGAGGTTGCAAACAAATTTAGATGCTTCAAATAGTACTATGTGGAAATATTCTATTAATATACTACCAAAAGTAGAGTAGTATATTAATAGTCGTATATTAGTAGGAGGAGGCACTACTAATAGGGAAGACTCTTCAAACGGCCTGCTCAACCTAGGCCATCCTGGACAGGCACACACTTTGGTAAGTATTCAGCAGTAATTAAGCATCCTAATACAGTACCATGGCTTCTCCTTCCCTAGTACTAATGCATCCATCAAATGAAGCATCCCAAAGGAGATGCTGACAAAAAGCTAAACTATGAGCTTATTCCCACGTTAAAAAAACAAAACAAAAACACACAAAACACCCTGCAAAAAACCAAGTGTATCTGTAAGGCTCAGCTATGTTCAAACACAGTATGTGTTATAGGATTACAATTTTCAAAGTATAATACATACAGATAAAAGGACACATACACACCAAATGTATTTCTCTGTAGAGAGATTAAAGGTAATGTTTTCTTTCTTTGTACTGTTCAAATATATTCCACATTTCTGTAACGAACACTTTGTGACCAAAAGATAAATATTTTAAATGAAAATTAAAGCTTAGTTAATTTGAATTATATATAACCCCTAAACTGTTAAAAGCTGAAAGAGATATTCTGGTCTTAAATTTACAACCTAGGATGGCAGAGTGTTCCAGACAAATCTGTAAAATAAGTTATTAATGTAAAATTAAATGTAGAAAGTGGGAATGTAAAACACTACAGCCAATGTAGAAAACAGTATGTCAGTTCCCCGAAAACTAAAGACAGAATTAGCAGGTGATCTAGCCATCCCGCTGCTAGCATACACACAAAGGACTGAAAGCGGGGACTTGAACAGAGAGTCGTACACCAACGATCACAGCAACATTACACACAACACCCAACACAAACATCTACCAACAGATGCATGGATAAACAAAATGTGCTATCTGTATACAATGGAATATTATTTGACCTCCAAAAGAAACGACTGATGCATGACACAATGGGGATGAACCCTGAAAACATTAGGCGAAGTGAGACAAGCCAGACGCAGAAGAACACAATTAATTGTATGACTCCACTAACATGAGGTATCTAGCCTGGTCAAACTCCTAGAGGCAGAAGGGAGAATGAGAGTTGCCAGGGACTGGGGGGGAGAGGAGAACGGGGAGCTACTGTTTAATGGGCACAGAGCGTCAGTTTGGGAAGACTAGAATGTTCTATGGAGACAGGCAGTGGTAACCGCTGCACAATAATATGAATGTTTTTGATGTCAGCAAACTGTATACTAAGAAATGGTTAAAATAATTAATTTTATGTTATGTATATTCTACCGTAATTTTTGAAAATCAAATTATGGGGGCACCTGAGTGGCTCAGTTGGTTAAGGGACCAACTCTTGGTTTTAACTGTGCTCTGTGGGGAGTCCACCTGAGATTCTCTTCCTTTCCCTGTGCTCCTTCCCCACACACGTGCGTACATTCTCTTGCTCTCAAATGATCTTTTTAAAAAATTAAAAATAAAATTATGATCCCATGGATTTACATCAACCTGTATTAATAAGCTCAAAGCTATACGTTTTTATTTATTTTTATTTTTTAAAAAGATCTTATTTATTTATTCATGAGAGACATACAGAGAGGGGGGGGGGCAGAGACACAGGCAGAGGGAGAAGCAGGCTCCATGCAAGGAGCCCGATGTGGGACTTGATCCTGGGACTCCAGGATCACGCCCTGGGCCTAAGGAAGGGGCTAAACTGCTGAGCCACCCAGGGATCCCCAAAGCTATATGTTTTTAAATTAAATACAGAAGTGTTCCAGTCTTAAAAAATATTTTTGAAAAAGTAAAATCATAATTCTGTCTTGGGAAGGTAAGTTCAGATTAGAGAAATCTTAAATGGAACACTTCTAAAAGACATACAGCCTTCTTAGAACTTTCCAGCATATATAGCAATTCAAACTAAACCAACTACTTGTTATGATGACCAGTCCTCCTAGAGATTATTATAAAAATGAGTTCTAATCAGCATGTCAGTTATATTAAATAATCACCTCTGAGGGCAGCCCGGGTGGCTCAGCAGTTTAGCGCTGCCTTCAGCCCAGGGTGTGATCCTGCAGACCCAGGATCAAGTCCCACACCAGGCTCCCTGCATGGAGCCTGCTTCTCCCTCTGCCTGTGTCTCTGCCTCTCTCTCTCTCTCTTTCATGAATAAATAAAATCTTTAAAAAAAATACAGTTAAAAAAAAATCACCTCTGAAGTACTTCAATAAGATAATCTTTTTTCGGGGATCCCTGGGTGGCTCAGCGGTTTGGCGTCTGCCTTTGGCCCAGGGCACAATCCTGGAGTCCCAGGATCGAGTCTCACGTCGGGCTCCCGGCATGGGTCTGCTTCTCCCTCCTCCTGTGTCTCTGCCTCTCTCTCTATCATAAACAAATAAATCTTTAAAAAAAAAAAAAGATAATCTTTTTTCTTTTTGCAACATTTTTTTTTTTGCTTATTACTTAGGAAGTACTTCCTTATACAAAGCATTAATATGTTCAGCCTCAATTGTTTGTTGTTGTTTTTTTAATTTTTATTTATTTATGATAGTCACACACACAGAGAGAGAGAGGCAGAGACATAGGCAGAGGGAGTAGCAGGCTCCATGCACTGGGAGCCTGACGTGGGATTCGATCCCGGGTCTCCAGGATCGCGCCCTGGGCCAAAGGCAGGCGCTAAACCGCTGCGCCACCCAGGTGAATCAAGGATTTCTTGCTTTTCTGCCATATGGAAATAAAGCAAGAATAGTGCAGAAATAAGAAAGCAGAGGATGGAAGCGTTTTAACACCTCAGAGGATAATAGGTCAACTCATGTGGATCTCCATATTTTCTCTGGCACTTGAAAATATACGCTATACTCCCAAAGACTTCTTTTGTGTCCATTGGTACAACAGATCAAAATCCCATTCCCTGGATGGCTTTTCCCAGTGAACCAGCACTGCCCCTCAGAAAGCTCGTGGCATGGAGAAGTAAAGGTTATTTTATTTTACACTCTGAAAGCAAATTTAGTCAAGAGGACAAACACAGACCTTCCAATTTTAGAAATCTACATTTAGAATGGAAGACTAAAGGAGTAATGTAGCAACCGATCTTTGGATCCCTCTAGGAGCAATTTATTTTCCCTTCCCCAAGGCACCAAGTAACTGTTAAAGGAAGGTTTGCTTTACTGATCTAGCAGAAAATATATCTGAATACATTTACAGGATTTTAAAAAACAACAGGAAATGGAGAAACTAGTAAAGGAAAACTTTGTTTTTGATAAAATAATGCTCTCAATATTAAACAACGCTAGAAATTAGAATTGTAACGTGCTAGCAAGTGGCTTCCACACAGGTATCAACCCTCACTTTAACCTGCACGTATTTGGCACAAAGGAGACGGATGCAACGGACGGGAGAGTCCACATCAGAACGTGTCTCCTGCTGACCTAAAACAGCTTGCTGAGGAAGAGGTCAGAATACCGTGAACAGCCACGCAGGCTGGTTAGCTGGCACCAAGATTCTGACTCTTCTAGTGGCGTCATTCTTGGGGCAGGAGGGAGTGTGTACCCTTCCTTATCTCGGAAGCCGATATTCTCACAGTAAAGGACTCACATAAAGGACTCTGAATGCTCAGGCCCCTTAGAGGTGGCCTGTATGATCTTGAGCACACCAGATATGGCCTGGTACAGACTATTTCAAATAGCTACATCAAATATGAAAAACGACTTTGTAATTGCAAAGAACTTTATTTAAATTAAAGCACTTACACGTACACTGAAAATCTCTAATAGAGGGTTTTTTTTTCTGTTTTCATAAACTGGATGGGTAATGATTTATTATCAGCTTAAGTTGCTAAGCTGCCTTACAACAGGAATT